GATGAGCCAAATATGTAACTTTAGATCCCCCATTTTTTATTTTTTTTTTATTTTGTGTTTGGAAGTCAATTTGAGTCGAGCCAAAGCCAAATTCGACGACGGAGGAATATTTACAAGAGTTTGAGAAATAACTTCTTGTAAATCATTTGCTTCCACTTTACACTCATGGAAAGAAGTAGAGAAAGGGAAGCAATTTCGCAACAATATCTTCAGAATGTGTGTGTGTGTCAGAGAGAGAGGGAGAGAGGGAGAGAGAGAGAGTTTTCGTTAATATTTTTTGTACATTATGCTATAAAAGATGTACTCTATATTTTTTTTTTGGATAAAAATATCATCATTTTTATAACTCCTGTTATCTATTCTATTATTATTATGATGCTCAAGTTTTAACCATATCTTTTATTCTATTCTTTAATGGTAATATTTATCAAGTATATATAGACAATAGATTAGATCATTAGAATAATAAAATAAATAGTTAATGATTATAAATAAAGATTGATAATTATATATTTAATTTACATTAAAAATAAAATTTAAATTTGTTAAAATGGTTTACATTATCATTAGACAGTATGTAGTATAAATGCTTTTCCAATATTTTTCAAATAAATTTGATAGTTAGAATTGACTATTTTAATAATAAATTGCAAAAGATAATTTGAATTAAAAAAAATTAAATGATTTTAGCTTGACTATAATTTTAATATTGAGCATAATTTTTTATGAATTATACATGTCATACACTAGTGTGTACGTACACACGTCGTGCTGCAAAGTGTATCAAGTAAAATTATAAAATGCATTTAATTATAGTAAAAGTACACAACATTCAAGATTATTATTACACTTTTATATATTATTAAGTGCACTTTGTACATTATATTGTAGTATATATAATATATTGCTCGATGCACTTTTGAATATCATTCAATACATTTTGTAGCTCAAAATATTTAGCAAAATGTGATCGCATTTTTCCTTAATAATTGATAAACGACCTACATCTAATGCAAATGTTAAATTAAACACTCAACTTTTACATCAATAGAATACGAAATGCTTTACGCAAAGTAAATAACACATTGCCTCAAAACAGGTAGTCGAGTAAGTGAATTATGATTCTCGTAATAGAATGTCACAAATTAGTTCTTGTCAACACTCTCTCGGTTTAACATGTCACGCACGATCTTCATAGCGTGATTTACCTTTCTTATGTGATTTACATATTATCAAACAAAAGTCAAAATTTATTCTTTACATATTCTCAAATATAGACTGTAAATTTCTTTCGTCACTCAAAATAAATAAATAATTCATTGATTCATATTATAAAACTAAATAAATAATTCATTTATTGAGTTAATACCTAAAATGGTCCTTGACTATAGTGGTTTTTCTCAATTTCGTCTTAAACGACTTTGGTGACTTAATGTATGTAGTCCCAGACTTTTGTGTTTTTGTTCAATTTAGTCATTCATTTGTTATTCCGCCAATTTGGTTTTAAATAGAGGGACAATTCAATAATTTCAATATTGACATCATTTTACTCCTAGACCTGCGAAGTGCGAAATCCCTCTTTCTTTTACAAATTACTCTCAAACTTGCGAATATAAAATTTGATTCTCAGGTCTAAGAGTAATTCTGCGAGTAAAAAGATGCCAATATTGAGATTACTAAATTATTCCTTTATTTAACACCAATTTGACGGAATAAGAAACTCCTAGACTGAATTTAGCAAAAACACAAAAGTCTGGGACTATATTATGTCACCAAAATTGTTTAGGACGAAATTGAGAAAAACCACTATAATCGATGGCATTTTAGATATTAACTCTTCATTTATTCATATTATAAAACTTGGTGCTATGGATTGAATGATTGATGTGTGATGAGCAAATTTGGATAAGGCATTGAAAAAAAAAATAAGGAAAAAAAAAAAAAGTTAACGTTAACGTATAAAGCGGCCGTGGTCTTTTTGACTCTTTTGCTTACCTCTATAGTCACGAGAATGGCAAACCATTTGCATGACGGCGTTACCACCCAAAAATAGGCATCACATACGTAGCCTACGAAGTTACGCAATTGTATGACGACTCTCCCATGCATTACATTCTATATATGGGGCCTTAAGTTTTAAATGTATATATCATACTTCAATTTTGTTTCTTTTTGCAATTTTTTTAATTTCGTCAATTATATTTCTAGATCATAACAATTTGAGGAAGTCTGACTGCTACCAACCTAGTACTAAATTCGAAATATTGTATTCAAGGTCGGTATTAAAATAATAGAGATTGTATGTAATAGTTTAATTTGAACATATATATGCTATATAATTGTTAGTATCATATTGATGGTTTATTGGGACTGGTTCATCATAAACTAAGTATGGAATTATAAAATGAGAGTTATGGAAATACTAATATTATTGCTCAGGCGCTAAGCCTAAAAGATAAATAATAAAGGTTATAGCCCGCCTAAATAGACTATAAAGAATTATAGAATAATATTGGTAATCTAGGTTGGTTTACTTCCTTATGAACATTTGTCAGCTAAGATTACAAGACAAGATTCCCTCGTTATCATCTAAAAGAAATGAATATTTTGTTGGGATAACATAAGTTTAAAAAAAAATAAAATATTTTGTTTGTTTTTGCAATATTTTAATTTGGTCAATTATATTTCAAGATGATATCAATTCGAGGAAGATCTAACTACTACCAATCTAGTACTAAATGTGAAATAGTGTATTGAAGGCCGGTATTAAAATAATTTTTTTTTTGTCAACTTAAATAATAGAAAGGGCCGGTATTAAAATAATAGAAATTATATGTGATAGTTTAATTTGTACATATGCTATTTGTTTTTTACTTTTTTTTTAAAAAAAGTAAATATTTTTTTTTAATTACTACTAACTCTGTTACAATGTGTAGTATCTGTTCATAATGATTTTCTTAACTTAATGAAGCACAAAGAGTCAATACTGTCCCCATTAAGGATTATATCCTATTAATTACGAATGTAATTATAATTTATAAAAAGAATGGTTAACTACTAGTAGTTTAAACTTCTTATTTCAAGACTGATAATACAAAATTATACTATACTTTAGCTGTTCAAAAAGTATTAGAGTTAGCTGTTACTCACTGGTATGTATGTGCTGTTTTCCTAATCAAAAGATAGGCCAGGGCCCAGGAGAGCATCCTTTCTCCTGATGTTACAATTAAGTTCATTTTGCCTTTTACCATGAAAAATTGCTTTTTGCCATGAAAAATCAATCGGTCGTACAATTATAATACGTAATAATAAGTCATTATTTATGAATGTGCTTAATTATTTGATTAACTTATTGAGAATTCTTTTTATGAAAATATTAAAATTAAGAATGCATGTAATCATATATGTATGAACTTGCGTGATTTTTAGTTTCTAAGCTACTTGACCGTCATGATATGTGTTGTATTTTCTTTTGACTATTCCAATGACGTGCATTGAGTTGTCTTGGTAAACCCTGCTCTAATGTAATGATTACTCCGCACTTAGATTTCTTTATCATTTTAGATAATTATAATATGCTATATATATATATTGCATCAATTTTATTATTATTATTATTATTATTATTATTTCCTTTTTAACCACTAGTTATAAGAGAATATTCGAATTGATGATTTCTTTTGATTTTGTGGTAATATTAATATAATAAAACAGTCATATATTCCTTACTACGGAGTAATTGTGATTTGGACACGACCCAACCATGCATGCTAGGCTCAGCCCAACTCCTCGCTCTTAGAAGATGCAAATGACCTAATAACACATTTCGGAATACTCAATGGCCCATCTCTTCTAGGAAATGAAGGCTCGATTGATCCAACGCAAATTATATCGTGCACCGCGGTGCATAATCGCATCAAAACGATGTTGTTTTATTTAATGAAGAGAAATGGAATCCGTTTCGCGCTGTTCTGCAAAAAATAACTTTGTTATTCAATTTCATTTTGTATACACTGCAGTTTCAGTTCAACACAACTACAGTTTCATTTCGATATAACTATAGTTTCATTCAATATTTATACACTCAAATATATGAAAATGTTATTTAATTTTATTTTATATACACTATAGTTTCATTAAAACACAACTACATGATCATTTCGATATAATTGCAGCTTCATTGTACGATATACACTCAAATATGTGAAATGTTATTCAGTTTCATTTTATATATATTGCAGTTTCATTTTACCACAACTACAGTATCATTTTGATATAATTGCAGTTTCATTTGATAATATAAAAATAATACGTAGGGCAGTGTCGGTTTAGATACACTGTAGTGTCACTCCATTAACACTAACAGTGCACCGTTTCTTTACTTAAAGAAATGCCGCCGTTTTAATGTGCGGTGCATAATCGATTATGCACCGCGGTCCACGATATAACGACTGATTGATCCAACTCACCACATAAACTATGAGAGTATTTGGTAAATAATTATTAGTTGATTGAATTAGTAAATTTAACTAGTTGATAACATTAGTTGATTGTAGAAACACGTTTGGTTAATTAGCTGTTAACTGTTAGCTTATTACATACAAAATGACTTTCTCAAAAAGTTTATATATATATATATATATATATATATATATATATATATATATATAGGTGTACTATTTTTTCTTTTTTTTAGTTAATCGTCTAGGCGTTCGTTAGCATAGGTCGTCTAGGCACTAAGTAATATTACTTTACTATTTTACTAGCGTCTGACGCCTACTGCAACGATGATACTAAGCAAATTATCCAACTAATTCGATTGGAAGGATATATTTAAGTGGGTTTTCCTTACAAGCAACATTAGCATAGGTCGTCTAGACACTAAGTAATATTACTTTACTATTTTACTAGCCTCTGACGCCTACTGCAACGATGATACTAAGCAAACTATCCAACTAATTGGATTGGATGGATATATTTAAGTGAGTTTTCCTTACAAGCTATTCTAACATAATTAGACTGGTAGAATTTTGTTTACATCTCAATCTAGTACAGTCTTGTGTAATTCTACATGTTTGTGTGGCTAACGTTAGTTCTACATGGCAACAAGCAACAACCTTCTACGCTTCTGACTTCTATGCATGTTCAGTGTCCACCTCAACCCCACCCACCCCGCCACCCACACCCTCCGCTCCGTCGCCTTTCCCCGTTAAACCGCCGCCGCCTAGAAACCAGAAAGAAAGAACAAGATGGCTTTGCTCCTGCTGCCTTTTGTCTCCGATCTTTATCTCCCAAAGCATTCCCACTCTTCTTCTCTTCCATTCCCAACTCCTAAACCCCAGATTCATTTTCCCCGTTGCCGGAAAATCTCGAAGAAGCGCGGCTCCAAGTGCGCTGCAATTGCAGAGAAAGTTGGGGGCGATGGGGAGAGTGTGATCTTGGGGCTCACTAGCCAAGAATTGAAGGATGAGAGGGTGGTGGTGGAGTACAATTGGGCTGAGGAGTGGTACCCTCTCTATCTCACCATGAATGTGCCTGATGATGCCCCTCTAGGGCTCACTGTCTTTGATAAGCAGGTGGTTCTGTACCGGGATGGCAGTGGGGTGCTCAGATGCTTTGAAGATCGATGCCCCCATAGGTAATTCTCCCCTTTTCTCCTTCCAAGTTTTTGTCTTTCTTGTAAGAATTTTTGGGTCATGTGAGTTGGTTCGAGCCCTGGATTTGATTGTGACCATTTTGTTGTGTGTTTATGTGTGCTGAGCTCGAGTATGGAGATAGCTTTTGGTCCAATTATTGTTATTTAGAAGGATAATTGGAAAAAGATATTGAATTCTGGGTTAACCCCGCCTTGTGACTTTAGCTACCAGAGGTAAACCAGCCTAGATTGTTTATAGCTGATATGTCTACCAAGACGCCAATAGGCCACTCTTAGCTAGATTGTCCATAACTAATATGCCTAAACCAAGAAGGCCAATGGGCCACTCTTAGCTAGCTAGGTAAACCAGCCTAGATTGTCGATAACTAATATGCCTAAACCAAGAAGGTCAATAGGTCACTCCTACTAAGAGTCGAACTTAGAACTTTGTGGTTATCGAGCTAATAGTCTGACCAATTTGGCTGGGTTGCTCCTACCTTGCACAAGTCTTGACAGTCGAGGTCTAGAAGTGCTTGTATAGGTCATGAATGGCATGTTGTGATCTTATGCATGTTTGGTGCTTGAACCAATATTTCCATTGTATAACCATGTTGATAACGAGCTATTAGTAGTATGTATGTTAATGGCACCCTTAAGGTAACTCAACCTTCCAAGTCATAGCAGGTGAAACCACTCTGGTGTGCTTCAAGAGCTGCGCTAATCACATGTTTCTTCCTTGTTGTAGTTTAGTAGGATTGTTCAGTTTTAGGGTTAAACTAACTAACTGGTTAGATTCAACCTTTTAATGTGGTTTGGTATGTGTGCTTTATAGCCCAGTTGAGTGACCTCAGCCTAATTTTAGATTCTAATATAGTATTAGAGCTTGTTCGGTCCACTTTTGGTTTATATGCAAATGCTATATGTTCTCAATTTAAACTCAAGAAATGTCCATCTTTGCCTCTATTTTTATCGTACCGTTACCCCATAGCTGTCCCCGTGGTTAATATGCCTTCCACTAAGGCGTTTGGTTCAAGTTATATCACATAATCCTAGTAGTAATGTGAACATAGGAATGTTATATACCAAAAAATGTGAGACATCTCGAGGAACGTGAGATTCCCGAACTTGTTTTATCTGTTCATTTTTTGCCATATTCATGGGAATCCCAGTTTCTCAAGTTATGTGAGATTCCCATGAATGTTACATTAGCTAAAAACATCCCTCGAACTAAACACCCAAGGTCGAAATGTTATAGCACTTTCTACTGCTTCACAAAGCCATAGCTCTATCAGTTACCCAATTAACTATAACTGAATGTTTGTATACAAATTAGCTTGAAATATGGCATTTTCTCTCATCGACCTGCATATTCCAGCAAGGCTATGATTACGTGCTGACCATAATGCTTTTATCTCAGGTTAGCAAAACTATCTGAAGGCCAACTGTTTGACGGCAAACTTGAGTGTCTATATCACGGTTGGCAATTTGACGGGGATGGAAAATGTGTAAAGATACCCCAGGTTTGATTTCAACAACCATTGTTGTGATCCATAGAGAGAAAAATTTGAGATTTGGAAGTTGAAATCTCGGTGTTCATTGTGGCTGTTTTGTTCATTCTTTACAGTTACCCGAAGATGCGAAAATCCCGAGGTCTGCTTGTGCCAAACCGTATGAAGTAAGGGACTCGCAGGGAGTGATATGGATATGGATGTCTCACAAAACGCCACCAAAACCCGAAAAAATTCCTTGGTTTGAGAACTTCGATAGGCCTGGCTTTCGAGATATTTCGACCACCCACGAGCTCCCGTATGATCACTCGATTCTTCTCGAAAACCTCATGGATCCTGCCCATGTCCCTATATCTCATGATAGAACAGATTTTACTGCGAAGAGGGAAGATGCTGGGCCTTTATTTTTCGAGGTGACGGAGAGGACTGGGCGTGGTTTTGCTGGTTGGTGGGGCAGAAAACCGGACCAAGGGAAACCAAATTACATCCCGAATTTCTTACGGTTTGAAGCTCCATGTGTTCTTCAGAACAACCGGGAAATAATTGGTGAGAACGGGGCGAAGGATTACTTTTCTGGCCTCTTTCTTTGCAGGCCATCTGGGCAGGGGAAATCCATGCTCATAGTGAGATTCGGGAACACGAGGGAAAGACCGGGGCTACTAAAGTTCATCCCGGATTGGTTCTTTCACCAGAACGCGGGCAAGGTTTTCGAGCAGGATATGGGGTTCCTGTCCTCCCAAAACGAGACGCTAATCAAAGAACGGGTGCCCACGAAGGAACTCTACTTAAATTTGAGATCCTCGGACACTTGGGTAGCCGAGTATAGAAAGTGGATGGACAAAGTTGGGCACGGGATGCCTTACTATTTCGGGCACAGCTCCCTTTCCCCTCCCGAGCAGCCGGCCGTGGTCGAGCACGCCCCCGCGGGCCTCCTTGCCAGCCTCTCGGCTTCCCAACCAGCCAAGGGAGGGCTCGGGACGATGCACGCTCCGAACTTCGCCAACAGATACTTCCGACACGTGATCCACTGCAAGTCCTGCAGGGGCGTGGTCAAGAGGTTCGAGACGTGGAAGAACGCCCTCGCTGCCGCCGCCCTCGTCTCGACTGCGGTGGCGATTCTGGTGTCGGGAAGGCAGTGGAAGGCGGCGTTCTTGCTCTCGATGGCCCTGTGCTTGGCCGGGGTATATGCCTGCTCTACTGCAATTGCCATGAATACAACAAACTTCATAAGGACTCACAGAAGGCTGTGAATCCAGAGAATTTAGTTCAGATTTGGTTATATATAGTTGCATGCAGTTTTCAAGATCTTAAAACTGTGAAGGGAGGATTAGAACTTCCTCATTTTAGCAGTAGACTAGGGGGGGTTAGCTTTGTGGTATATGGAACTCGATGTGTTTTTATTGGCCAAAAAATATGAAGATTGTACAGAAACTTGGGATGCTTTATTTTGAGTATTACTAATCTGCAATTATAATTTCTTCTTATTTTACTAAGCAATTCTTACTCTTGTTCAATCATGTCATCCTCACCACTTATTAAGTTCAGGTCTTATATGCTATGAGTAGAATACCAACTAACCCAAAATTGACTAATAAGTTAACTATGTTACCAAACATGTCCAATAATTTGTTGAAAAGAGTTAATACCATCCAGGGTCCTCCGAGTTTTCCCACGTTTAGTCTTAAACTTTTAAATTGATCACCCGTGATCTTCGACTTTCAAATTATTACCATCCATGGTCCTTTAATTATCAAATTTTAATCAGTCATAGTCTTCCTAGATGACCAGTGCTGGTTAAATTTTAAAAGTACCATGGATGGTTACTTGGACCACGGATTGTAATAATTTGAAAGTCGAAGGACCATGTGGTCAATTTGAAAGTTTAGGACTAAACATGGTAAAACCACTATACCCTGGATGGTATTAACTCTTGTTGAAAATCTACTATATAAGAATCTAAGAGAGTTAAGCCTGTAATGGGTAGAAAAAATGACGGCCAAATATTTTAATCAAATGAATGGCTCAAATTGACTAGATTTTAATTTTTCTTTAAGATTTCCTACTTTAAAATACTTATTTTAAAAATGTTTTGGACATTATCCCAATCGTACAATGGGTAGGTAAAAAACTAGTAAATGAATAAAAGGGCAATCCTACCCACCCGGTTGGTCTCGGACCCTCTCCTCAACCCGACACCGAATAAGAGCGGATATATATATATTCCCCGCTCGAGAATTCAAAAATCGCCCATTTTACATTTCTACACTCTCCATAAACCAACAACAGTGATGGGGCATCCCCATGATTATCATCACCAAGCAGTGGATGGGTTGGTGAGCCTCTTCACCAAAGCAAACCACGACCTTAATCTCGTCTCCTTCAAGCTCGAGAAGGAGTTCCAGCAAGTCTACTCCGACAACGTAGGGATTGAATCTCATTTCCCTAAAATTCTTAATGAATTACTACATGGATCCGCCTGGTTTTGTCTTCTCATTCGTAAATTTCCTTGTTTCAGACTAACCCTATGAAGCTTGTGTCACGGATCAACAAGATTCAGGAAGAATTGGCGTCCATACAGGAGCAGTGTCGCGAGCTTCTAGCTGCCAAACAGGTATTCTTGCAGTTAGTATTAGAAAGTTTGTGCTTGCTTTGAATATTCTCTGCATTGATTGAGGAAATTGAAACTGCAATGGATTTAGTTTTGGAGTTTTGGAGTTCAGGTGAGAAAATCTGAAAATGCCAGGAAACTTAAATGATTTTGATAAGCTAAAGTGTAATGTGTGTGTGAAGTACACCCGAATGAAGGTTTTTGGTTCATTTTTTGCTTTTTCTTTGGTTGTGAAGAAAGATTGGAACATTAATCAAATATAGGTTTGATAAAAGAGGGAAGTGAAGTTTATTGCTCAAGGTCAAACCTTAATAAGTTGAAATCGACTCGACTCATATTAGTTCTTCAAAAGCTCAAAACTTTTCAGCTACCATAGCAGAATAGACAATTTCACAATTTTCTCAAATTGACCTGTTTATGTTTAAAACTAAAAATGTTCCCACTGGTGATGCTAACAGGATTTAATTGACAAAGCCAGTACTACCCTAGTCGGGAATCGGTCATTGCTGCAAAAACTTCAAGCTTCTGCAGGTGTACCTGTCATTGATGACAGTAATGATCCAGAATTTGCTAATTTCAACCAGGTAATTAGGTTATTGCATCATAATCGCATTGAATTTGAAAGATTCACATTGCTGCACTATTTGCTCCCTAATCCTACCTCCAAAAAGTTAATGAGCATATAACTCACAGCTTCTGGAGCATCTCGCCTTGTGGGTCCCTATAAGAGATTTGGATTTTCACATTCTATTGGCATGTGTAAACATTCTGAAAGTAGTTGCAATGACTTCTCTTCTAGTCCTCTTGAACGGGAAATTATTCTCACATCTACTTATCCTCTACATTTTACTTTATTATGAGTACCAATCTAGTCTTTTTTTGACTGGTGACCTACCTGATAATAGAAGAAATGAATGAAATTTAACTTGTTTTCTAATATCAATTAAACACGTGATCTGGAGTTTAGTTACAAGGTTGTCTATTTTCCAAGTGGTGTTTAGAGAACTTGCACCATTTGCCAGCAAGCAACCAAAATTTATTATGAGTGGCAAGGTTTCAAGATATGATGCCCTGGCCAAAAGTGCTTTGCCATGGTATTTGTTAGCCTTGCTACATATTTTCATCCTGTAATAATGTAATTTTCTTTCTCCTGCTGCATTTTTGGGAAGTTTAGTTCTCTCTCTTTCTCTTTCTCGTAGTGTTGTAGGCCATTGTTAATCTCTTGATACGCAGGTAGTTAACAAATACTTTTTAATCTCTTGATATGTAGGTAATTGATGAATGGACAGCTCAAGTAAGAGCGGGAGCAGGTATGTTTTTATCTGCTGAAGGTTTGACAAAATGAAAAATGGAATCATGTATCTTACATTTCCATTAGGAGTCCAGCAAATTGATTTTTTGTATTTTTATATATCCCACATGAATTTCATATTTCTTTGGTATGCTAATGCCAATCAAAGCAACTGAACTTCCATGGCCATCTCTTTTTTCAAATAACAGGTCGTGTAAGGTTATACAATAGGAGAAATTACTTGTTCACCTTTGATCCAATGGAAGTTTGATGTTAAACTAGCTTCAATTTTTTCTGAACTCGTCTATATGAAATAAGATCTGCTTTAGTATGTTCTGGAATTTTGAGTTACATCATGTCTGCAACAAAAACGAAACATGGTATATACTCGTTGCAGATATTATGGTGCTCTTATTATTAATTTGGTACCATGGCTCGTATAAATGGTTTAAATATGTTTGTTAATGGATTGCTTTGACACATACTGAAGATATTCCATCGAACTAGACTTCATTTTTGCATCCTCTTCTTCCCCATTAGCCCACAATCAGGAATCAACGTACTGTTCTTTATCATTTTTGTCCTTTGCTTTTCAGTTTGCTGGTAAACTGCACTTGAGATAGATCATAGATTACCTCTTAATTCCTTCGTTAATCCTCATAATTTCCAATCTGCAGATGATGAAGATCAGGAGGCGGTTTCTGAGGATATCAACCATCTTCTCTTTTCAGCAATTGTGCCGGGGAACTGAGCAGAGGTTTTCATGAGTTCTCAGGTGGTATAGACTATAGAGTAGACATAATGTCTAGTTTGGCAAGGCTGGTGGCTTCTTTTAAAAGAAGGGTTTTCATCCTTGTTTAGTTTGGAAAGTGTAGCTATTATGGAGCATTGAAGATCATGGATACTCTAAAATTGAATCACTATTGTAAATTTGTTCCTAGCTTTAAACATGTTTTGCTCCAAAATTGCATCAAATGCTAATGCAGTTTACAGTTTGTGTGAGGTCTCATATCTCTTCTCTTTTCAATTATATGCATTAGGAAACATTATCTTTAAATTTAGAGCAAATTTCACTTTTAGTTTTCGACTATTGTAATATTGTCACATTTTAGTTCTGTTTTAATTTTGTCATATTAGTATATTACATACTTTTATTTGTTTGTTACAATTAATCATTCATTTAGTCATCTTGTCTCTTTATTCCTATCAATTGTATGACCAAGAAATATTACATACTTGACTTTTATTTATTTGTTACAATTAATCATTCATTTAGTAATCTTGTCTCTTTATTCCTATCAATTGTAGGACCATTTTGGCCCGACAATTGATGAGAGTAAAGAGACAAGATGGATTTGAACCCGGAAATTTAAGAAATTATGATATTATGAAGTAAAACACAGAAAAGAAAAACAAGGGAATTATTTGACCAGACAATATCTAAGATTGTACATAAACTTGGGTTGCCTTATTCTGAGTATTACTGCAGAAGTGCAAATCTGCAATTATAATTTCTTTAAATTTTAGTAAGTAATTATTGATTATTTTGAGTTTTACCTTCATATTAAGTTAACATTAATATGCTCCACCAACAAATAAGTGAAATTCTGTGTGGACAGATCATATAAATATTATTATGTGAACATTGTTATACCAAATGACATTTTGGTCTTGAGTATTGTGGTGGGTGGGTGGGGGGTGGGGGGTCATAGAATGGTTCAATCAAACAAATATTATCTAGCATAGACCAAAACCATTATGGATCTTCCAAGCAAAGACAGCAACAATAATGTCCCTGTTTGGTCAAGTTTATTTAATTAGATTATAGAGATAATAGATTAAATAATATAATTTCTTTGTGTAACAAATAAGTTGGAATTAATTATAAATTATTCACAATGAATGACTTATAAGATCTGCCAAACAAGCAGTGTCAATGGAGATTGAATGAACTGAAAATCACATTTACTTCAAAACTATGAAACAAAAACATGTGCATGTGTGTATGAAGTCTACAAGTATATTGTGTAAGATGTCTTAAAGAAACCTGCTATGGAGTTGATCAAGAAACTCGGGTTCTCAAAACAGAGACATACATGGGAGTCTTTATCAGTCGAAGCAGTTTCTTCCCTGTGGATTTGATAAAAGTTTTTCGCTACTTGGAAATTGGTGTGTTGGAGATCGGAGGGTCTCCCAGCCACTTTGCACGAAAACCTGTTCCTTTACAATCTGTGCAACACACAGAGCCCTAAAAAACACGGGAAACAAAACTCTTAGTGGTTCATTACTGGAAATATTTGTTCAGATATATAATTTAGATTAATTGGCAACAAATGAATAAAGATCTTGGTGTAATCACCTTGCCAGTACAGATGACACAGCTGGTGTTCTTGGATGGGACTTGGCAGAGCATGTTGTCACCGAGAATGAAGAAGCCAGTACCACTGCACCATTTGCAGTCGACAAAACCATTTGAGTCACAAGAAGAACAAATAACAGGCCTTGGTTGCTGCGTACATTGAGAAAATAGTAATCATTCACATAATCAAGAAAAAGGACAAAAAGTAAATGACAGTTCCTTTTGATCAAAGTATATGCGCCTTTATAGTGTGTGTGTATAATGTGACTTGACAGCTTACTTTGTCCACTTTTCAACCAACATAAAGAACAAAAAGAAAACTGTCGGGGCAACCCCAGCCAACGGGAACGACCGTTTGAGCTGGTCAACTTAGGCTGGTTTGCCTCCTTGTGGTCTTTTGCCAGCTAGGATCACAAGGCGAGGTTTACCCAGTGCATACCCTCGGATAATGGTTGTGGGTTTTCCTCATTACCCCCCTCAACACCCCCCCCCCCCCCCCCTTTATTATCTTTACTATTAGAATTGATTTATTTCCTATAGAGATAGCAAATAATTAGGATAAGGGGCTTTAATGATTCTCCTTTCCTTTTTTATGTTTTAGTTAGTCTTCCTTTCCGTTTTACTAGTCTTTGTAACCCTTTATATAAAGGGGATTTTCATTCTAATAAAATAACAAGCAAGAAAGAAGTTAAGTTAAAATCAAGAGGTGGGAAAACTCTCAAAACGTTCCTATTATCTTTGTTCCTTAAATTTATCTCTCAACATAGACATCCCCAATAACCCTAATCGCCCTGTGACGTGCTTTTGCCCGAGAACATAACATTTTGGTTCCATTGCCGGACGTCAATATGGGCGACATCAAGAAACTCCAGGACGAGGTCCGAGCTATCCAGGCATCCATCGAAAAGCTGAACTCCTTCCTGCAGCTGTGGACTCTCTAACCGAAATAGTAGCCAATCTCTCCTAGATGGTGCACTCTTTCTCCACATCGCAGGCCACCACTTCCACAACTGTGACAGCCTCTCATGGCAACCAAGCCACTCCGGAGACCGCTCTGCCGCAGCCAGCTGCTCCCATTCCTGCTACACGATTCACCAGATTGGAGTTCCCCACTTTTGATGGCAAAGGGGACCCTCTTGTTTGGCTCCATCGCTGTGAGTTGTTCTTTGATAAATCACCACATTCTGATCATGAGAAGGTTGCCACAGCAGCGTATTATCTGTTCGATAGCGCCCAACTGTGGTACAAACGTCGCATGCAGGATGGTCAACAATTTTCTTGGAATCAATTCAAAGATGCATGCACCCTCCGTTTTGGACCACCCCGGAGCATCAACCCGCACTGTTATGGCACAACTAGGGGGTGTTTGGGATGGGAAAGTTTGTCGGGAGGTGCATTGTGAAGCAGGAAGCCTTTACGAGCATAATCTCGTGCTATGTTAATGGCCTCATCAAGAGAAACTGGCCGCATCCTTTCAACATCTATACGTAGAACCTCATCAAGGCCGGCTGTGAACAGAGATTGACTTGTTGAGAATAAAGGACGTTGTCAGCTCTAGCAAGGAGGGTCTGGAAATCATCTATGAATTCGTCTAATCCCGACCATGTTGTTTGAGGTTTGCCAGTTCACCTAACGGGTTGATGCTCCGGGGTGGTCCAAAACGGGAGGGTGCATGCATCTTTGAATTGATTCCAAGAAAATTGTTCACCATCCTGCATGCGATGTTTGTACCACAGTTGGGCGCTATCGAACAGATAATACGCTGCTGTGGTAACATTCTCATGATCAGAATGTGGTGATTTATCAAAGAACAACTCACAGCGATGGAGCCAAACAAGAGGGTCCCCTTTGCCATCAAAAGTGGGGAACTCCAATCTGGTGAATCGTGTAGCAGGAATGGGAGCAGCTGGCTGCGGCAGTGCGGTCTCCGGAGTGGCTTGGTTGCCATGAGAGGCTGTCACAGTTGTGGAAGTGGTGGCCTGCGATGTGAAGAAAGAGTGCACCATTTGGGAGAGATTGGCTACTATTTCGGTTAGAGAGTCCACAGCTGCAGGAAGGAGTTCCAGCTTTTCGATGGATGCCTGGATAGCTCGGACCTCGTCATGGAGTTTCTTGATATCGCCCATATTGACGTCCGGCAACGGAACCAAAATGTTATGTTCTCGGGCGAAAGCACGCGTCAAAGGGCGATTAGGGTTATTGGGGTTGTCTATGTTGAGAGATAAATTTAAGGAACAAAGATAATAGGAATGTTTTGAGAGTTTTCCCACCTCTTGATTTTAACTTAACTTCTTTCTTGCTTGTTATTTTATTAGAATGAAAATCCCCTTTATATAAGAGGTTACAAAGACTGTAAAACATAAAAATGAAAGGAAGACTAACAAAAACATAAAAATGAAAGGAGAATCATTAAAGATCCTTACCCTAATTATTTGCTATCTCTAAAGGAAATAAATTAATTCTAATAGTAAAGATAATAAATCAGTTCGAATAATAAAGATATTCCCTTAATCATCATATCAAAAACTGTCATTTTTCTTTGCCTAACTAGAATGATCAAGCACAAAAATAAAGTCTCTCCCATTCTTCTAATCTATTATCCTTTTTGCAGCATTCATTCCCATTATATCATTTTAAACCCTGTATATTTATTTCCCCATCTGGTAATGACTCCCTTGATGCTCTGGAAGTGCTTGTCCAGTCAACACCGCCCTAATCCAATGTTGAGAGCAGATTTCCAGCAATCTGTGACTGTCATTTATGTGATGTGCCATGTCCCGACTTTTAGCTCTTGTTCAGCCCAGATTACATCTGAATCAGCTATCCAGAACTACTTTGCTAACTACGTGGGCATTACCCTGACTTCTATGGGAGGGACTCCTTCATTCTACACCAGGATGTCCTATCGAAGAGAGCAGTGTAATTCAGTGATGGGCTATCATTTCTTCCATTTATGATCATTCCATGAGAGATTTGCATCACTAGAAACAAATTCAGGTATAAGGGCACCCATTGTTTTTCAATCCCTAACCTCTGAATGGCAAAGCCCAAATGGGCAACATAGTATCACTAAATCACTTGGGAATAGTTCTAAGTGCCAAAAACAAAAACAGAAGTGCCCAAAATTATTTAGATGAGAAGCCCCATCAAATGGATTGGTTCAAACTTCAAACCCTTTAAAGTATACATATACAGAACTACAGAAGTGAAATGGAGTACTGATTACTGACAAACACATTCAGTGGATTGCCATTCAAAATTTGCATCCAAAATTTTCCTCTGCATCTCACAAGATTCACGCCAGTAAACAAATATAATGAACACGAAAGAAGGATTCGAAAAAAACAAAATGGGGGAAAAAAATCAAACACATAGAGGACATACCTGAGAAATCAACCATGCTCGTTCCATGCGCTGAGCAAAGTTGGAGGAGCTCTCCACAGCAGAAGCCCTCACCACACAAGCGCCATGGCGAATCAAAGCCACCCGTCTTCTCGCCGACGGGAATTTATTTTCAACAACGTTACTGCTCGAAACTGGGGAAATTATGGGTCTGCAACAACTGCTGCTGCTACTCAACATTTTCCTCTCTTTTGTTCACTTTCTTTCTGAATCTTTCTTGGTTTTCTTTGAAGATACTTTGCGTGGGAATGAGAGGAGAGGTGTGGGGTTGTTTGGTTTCGTGTGGAGCAGACAGGTTTTCGATGAAACTTCCGGCGATTTTTCGAAGGCAGCAAAGTTTATTAGAGATAGAATTTGACCAAGCTGCGTGCCACTTGGTCCACAGTTTGCTTATTTGTGTTTTGTTTGTTTTTCGTAGGTGACGGGAAACCGGCAATTGAATATTTGAATGCCAATTTTTGTTACGTGCCACATAGCTGTAAATATAAGAGAATTTTTGGACCTATTGTTATAGGGGCGTTTTTAATTTTAGTCCAGTTTAATTTTTTTTTGCCACTTTATAACTACTATTATTGAATGTGTTCCACTTTTAGTCCCATCGTTAGTATTTCCATCAAGAGGTCGTGTAATCTAGGGGTATTTTGACATTTCTTCTCATCCAAGACTATGTTTGACTAAAGGAATGAGAACATTAAACCTAAAACCTAAGAAACCTCGCCGGCCCATGTTGGAACGAACGAAAAGATGTAGCTTTGACTTCTGACTCTCGTTGTTCGAAGAGCCATCTTCGAATATCGGAAGAGGAGGACGAAGCGCCTGGATTAAAAGCGAAGAGACAAACATAAAAAAAAAACCAAAATACCCTTGAATTATACGGTCTCTTGATGGAAATATTAACGATGGACTAAAAGTGAAACACATTCAATAACAATGGTTGTAAAGTGGCAAAAAAGATTAAGGTGGACTAAAATTGGAAATGCCTCTATAACAGTAGGACCAAAAATGAAATTGACTCTAAATATAAGGTATATTTTTATTATACGAGTATTAAAACTTAAAAGTATATTATTTATATACAGGGTGTACATTGTGTATTATTTGATAGTATATAAAATAATACGAAATATATTTTCAATACTTAATTAATGTACTTTTTATTTGTGATCCATATAAATGTATGAACCAAGATTCATAGAATAATAGTTAATTGAATATATTGGGTTTTACCAGGACTATGTGGTCTAATGGTACCCGGGTTGGACTTCCATTTGGAAGATTATGAGTTCAAGCCTCAGTGGAGACGTTATTGGTTCTTTGTGTTTCAGTAGATTGAGAAAGTATATGAACAGATACTACAATGTAATAGAGCCAGTAGCTTTCAAGAAAAAAAAAAAGAATATATTGGGTTTTCAACTACTAATCCGTAATACATGGATTCTCATTTTCTAATTCGTTTTTTCTTTACTTTATATTATGTGTCATGTTTTGATTACTTAATAAAAATATGTGGGATTGGTGGGTCATGATTTGGTTCATTCATTTTTCTTTGTCCAATAAAAAATTCAACATTTGGTTAAAGTAAAAGTTGAGAATATAATTTGAGAATAGGGGTAGCATTTTCCAATTTGATGCTTGCACAATCATCAAAGAAGGTAAAATTGCAAGTCGTCCAAACAACACCTCAGTAAATATTTGTCGTTGACTATGCACGCAAGGAATTCATCATTTTCACACTTCTGTCAACTTGGGAATCCCAAAAGCACAAACTATAGCTTTGCGAGCCCTAGTAGAACCCTCACCTTTGTTGCTGGAGTTGCGAATTTAGGTCGAGTGGTCTACAACTTAACTAGTCTCATAGGGCAAATAAATCTTGTATCATGTTTACCATCATGCCACATACGGGTGTTCATTCGGTTAAGAGCCGAACCGAATTAATCGATTTTGAATGTTTTAAACGTTAACTGAACATAAATTTATATTTTCGAATTAATTGAACAAAAAAAACAGTTATTTAATTGGTTAATCGAAATATTTTAATCCAATTTAAAAAACTCTTAAAATTTGTAAGTTCATAATTTCATACCACAAAATAGTCATTACATCAATAATAGTATTGTTTATAAATTATTAAAAAAAAACATATATTTACACATGTAATTCGGGAGTTTTTTGCACTTTTAGTCCCATGACTATAGTGGTACTGGCAGAATTGATCCACGACTTTTGAACCTTGCAATTTTAGTCCACGACTATTGATTTTTTTGCAAAAATGGTCTTTTCGGTCACTTTTCCGTCAAAATTTCACCGGAAAAAAAAAAATTCCATTTTTAGCCCCGGGTTAAAATTGCCATTTTACTTGTCTCAAAAAATTAAAAGAAAAAAATTGATATTTGACTACATACAATATATACTACTGCCCCAGGCGGCGGAGTTCCTGGAGCAGGCAGGGCTGTCAGTAAGCGGCGGAGTGGCCGTGGCGTTTCCCGGGTTAGTTGGGTTATCCGGCAGCAGCATTGGAGTGGTACATGTACTCCGCTGCCTGGGGCAGTAGTATGTAGCCCAGTAATATTGTATGTAGTCAAATATCAATTTTTTCTTTTAATTTTTTGAGATAAGTAAAATGTCAATTTTAACCCGACTAAAAATAGAGAATTTTTTTTTCCGGTGAAATTTTGACGGAAAAGTGGCCGGAAGGACCATTTTTGCAAAAGAATCAATAGTCGTGGACTAAAATTGCAAGGTTCAAAAGTCGTGGGTCAATTCTGCCAGTGCCACTATAGTTGTGAGACTAAAAGTGCAAAAAACTCTGTAATTCGGTTAACCAACAACTTTCAAACTTTATTAGCCATTAATCACAAAATTTAAAAATATGTAATCTGAACTGAAATATTTTGATTAAAAAATAATTAATCAAATTTGTTCAATTCCGTTAATTAACCGATTCTTCATCGAATTATGCACATCCCTAGTGCCACCCTTTGAGGCTTATTCACTCTAAAAAGAGAATTTCTATAGTGAATGATTATATTATATAGTGCTATTTGTAAAGTTTAATGATATCTTAAATTGGAATTTATATTGACATTAGATATAAATACACACAATCTGCGATTAAAAGATGTCCAACAAAAAAAAAAAAAAAATAGCAATATCAAATTATTGAAATGAATTTTAAAAACACATAAATGTTATAACTATTAGAAAATGATACTTTTTTTATGATAAGGAAATTTATTATCTCGCATAAATTTCTAAAAAATCGCATTAAACTAAGTAGATATTTTATTTCAAAATGGTTATATATTTAAGGGTGTTGCTATTTGCACCACCTTTGACCAAATATGGTGTAAAGTATCATTGAAAATGTAAAAAGGTGGTAAATTATAATAAATATATGAGTGGTGCAAATAGCCTAATGGGTGGTCAAAATGCTATTTGCACCACCCTATTAAAACTGCATTTATGAGATCAAAATTTAATTCTTAAAAAAAAAAAAAAAAAAAAAAAAAAAAAAAAAAAAACGAAGAAGCAACCATCGCCTTCTCCGGTGAGAAGGCAGCCCAGTGGGTCGCCTTCTCGCCGGAGAAGGCAGCCCAGTTGCCTTCTCCGGCTGCCTTCTCACCGGAGAAGGTGACGGATTTTTTTTTTTTTTTTTTTTTTTTTAACTTTGCTGCCTTCTCCGGTGAGAAGGCAGTCCGTCGCCTTCTCACCGGAGAAGGTGACGGGTGGGTTATCTTCTTTCTTTCTTTTTTTTTTTTTCTTTTTTTTTTTTTTAAAGATTTTGAGGATAAAAAAATGGAATAATAAATATTAATATCTAACCACATTTAATGATGTTGACTTTTTTATTTGCACCACCTACAAAGTTATCATACCTATTAAATAGGGTGGTGTAAATAGTAAATAGGGTGGTGCAAATAGAATTACCCATATTTAATCAATACAAATAGTTTTTCTTTGATAATCTTTATACGGAGTATATTTTAATTAGAGTTTTAACATTAATACAATAATAAAAAAAATTAATTTAAAAAACTTAAATAAAAGTTAAAATTTCAAATGAGAAATTGTATTAAAATATATATGTATTACGGAGTATTTATTGATTCAAAATTTAAGTTTATGAATTTAGTCAATTTACTTTGTCCATCTAAATGTTAATTTTTTTTTTTATGAATAAGGGTCAAATAAGTCATATAATCACACATCAAAATGCAATTAAGCTATTAAACTGAAAAAATATATAATTGAATTCTTAAACTAATCAATCTTAATACAATTAGTCTAATTTATTAGTTTCTAATAGGTCATTTCAAATTTAAAATAATTTTTAAAAATAATTATTTATAAAAAAAAAAACATCTCTGCCACCGTTAGAACAAAATTATTTAAATTTAATAATTTACTAAATGACTAAATTTAAAACAAAATTAATAATCAAGAAATCATTTGATAGTTAAATTAGAAATCGATGATGAAATTGATAAATGTAAATTGTTAAAGTGGGAGGTTGGTACTAAAATTGATAAATATGAATAATTAATGACTCATTTTTCGAGAATTTAATTTTCAAAAGAAATGGAAAAGATAAAGAGCACATAATTTAGAATCTTATCTCCACCGTCATTCGTCAAAAAGCAGGTGAATATTAATATCATCCCCACCGTTTACTCTTTATTAGCCCCTCACTCCCTTTGCTTACTCCAAAGGAAAGCGGAAAGCCGATCAGAGTTTTGTGTAGACGGTGAAAATGGTGGAGCTCACGGCGCAACAGCTGAAGGAGTACGACGGCACGGATCCGTCGAAGCCGATTTACGTGGCGATTAAGGCGCGAATCTTCGACGTCACCGCCGGCAAGTCCTTCTACGGTCCCGGCGGCGACTACTCCATCTTCGCCGGCAAAGACGCCAGCAGAGCCCTGGCCAAGATGAGTAAGAACGCCGATGATGTTTCCCCTTCCCTCGAAGGCCTCTCCGACAAAGAAATTGGCGTGCTCGCCGACTGGGAGAAGAAGTTCGAAGCTAAGTACCCTATCGTTGGTACTGTTGTTTAATCGTATTTGATTTCTGCACTGATCCGGAATCCGGATGGTTATATGATCTAGGGTTGAAATGCGTGCTGATTGCTGATTGTTGTGTACTTTGCAATCTGATGCTGTAATCTCCGCTCTGAATATTTACTTCTATGCATGAATTGAGTGTAAGAAATCAATTAACTACTATAGTCTAATGGAGTCTGAATTATTATTACTCAATCGAATGTAATAATCTGAATTATCTGCCAGGACTATAGACACATGTCTATGTTGCTATGTTCTACTAGTCTGTGATGCCATTATGTCAACAACTTTTGTATCAGATCAGGTTTCTTTATTTAGAGATATATGAAGGAAATAATGATCCTAGCTTTATTAGCTGGTCTCTTGGAAAATTTATCTAAATATGTGATAATTCTATTTGTATGTAGAGATCCAAAGTTCTTAGTGGACATGAATTGGCCCTAATTTGATTTTATTGGGGTGAGATTCCATGAAACTTTATTATCTAGTCTAGGTTAATATGATTATTCCAGGCAGTTAAAATAGCATGGTCTCTGATGGCATGTCTTGCAAACTGTATGCTTTTGTGTCTACTGTTGTAATAGGGGATCAATTGTTGTACAAAAAGTTTGATATTATTTCAATATGTGGGTAGTGCAATCGTTATATCACTCAACATAATACACATAATTCATGTTCATATTGCACAAAATTCATGTTCATTATATCGTGTTTATGTGTATGTGTATTATGAACATGAATTCTGTGCATTATGAAGTCAAATTCTGTGTATTGTGGTCCATGATTGCCTGGGTAGTGGTGTAGGAGTAAAAAGAAGGCAACTTAGGAGTTCGTTAGTAACTATTTGTGTTTTTGTATTTGAAAATTTTGAAAAACAAGAAAAAAGTGTTATTATTTTTTTGAAATGAATATCTGTGCAAGTAAACATGTTTTCTGTTTTCTATTCTCGTGTTTAAAATTCTTCCATTAGTAAACGAACCCCAGGCTTCCCTCCACTCTCATCAAGCCTAATGTGATGTTTCCTTTTAACGATGTTGTTTTTTCACCTGATTCCACAATCAATATACAGTCTCAAAATTTTCATGGTGGCTTGGCTTGACATTTGCCTATAGGGACAATTCATTCATTTTCCTTATATCATTCACCATGTTGTTGTTCTCCATTTCATTGACTATGTTAAGGATGCTACTTATCTTAGCATGGTCTGCATATTACATCTCAATCTTCCCATTTTGAGGGCTTATTACCCTGAATCACTGATTCTAATTGGGTGGCTGAAACAATGGATAGATCAGATCTTCCATTGCAAGATTTTTGCTTTTTCCTTGGAAAACTCACGCATCTCATGGCTAAGAAAGTCTTAGTCCAGTGTGGAGTCTGAATGCCATTGTTGACATGCTTAGCAACTTACTAGATTATGTTAGTCTCCTCAAGGCTACATGCGTTCATCATTCTATAGTATAGCTACAGCTCTTTCCTTTGTTAGCCAGAGTGGAATCCAAGTTACACATCATGATGTTTATCACGAGCTATCCAAATATATTTTTTTTGGTCAGGTCATGAGGTGTCTTGAGCAGGTCTTAACTATAGGAGACACTTTTAAGCACGTACCATACTCGGACTAATCTCCATTCGCACCGGTCCGGCCCAATTAAGGGGCAAAGTGCTACCCAGAATGGTTTTTTTCATACGAGAGTGTGTTTGAACTTCCGACTTCTTTTAAGAGATGAGAGTGCACGGTCACTACTCACGCCAACCAAACCGGTTGCTATCCAAACATATTGAGACTTGACAATACATTACTCAATGTCAATTTGTCAATATGCTCCCATTCTTCTCCCTACATATTGAGACTTGACAATACATTCCTCGATGTCAATATGTTCCCATTCTACTCCCCCCACTTTCACTACTTGCTTTTTTGTCATACTTGACCCTTGAGTATCAATTTTTCTTGCCTGAGCTTTCTTTTGATCGAGTTTGAGTTCCCTCTAATGGTTCCTCTCCATAAATATCAACATCAATGTCATCCCCAAATACGTTAGGTGAATATTCATCGTTTTCACCCACAAGCCATTCATTATCATAATGGTAATTTATCAACTAACACATTTTCTTCATCATTTGTTAGGGATTTCAATTTTTTTTTTTTTTTTGAAAGACAGACATTTCATTAATTCAAATGCCTATCCTTTAACCTTTTATTATACATGATATCCTCATAGTGATCATATAAGTCAAGCGATTTCTTCTCTTTGTGTGTATGTGATTTAAAGTACCCTAATTTCGCACCTCTAGATGATGGGCAAATAAGACCCAATACTAAGAAAACAAATGTTTGTAGCTTTGAAGTGTCATCTCCATATTGAATCTGTAGGAAAAATGCAAAGGACCAGTTTTCTCTGTAAGTGTTTGTGGCCAGGGGCAGACCAGAAAACCATTTGAGTGGGGGCGAAGTTTAAATGATGTTAAAAATGTTAATGACAAATATCAAACACACATAATAAGGTTCAAATACAAAATATATTATAATATAATATTTTTTTAATCTTTGTTAATCCTGAACGTTGATCTTGGTTAGATAAATAGCTCTACCTCATTCTACGCTGAGCACTTCATTCGCATAAACATTTGGAAGAGACAGATCCATGAGGCCATGACTTTCAATTGAAACGCATGTGATCATCTATCTATTTAAAGATACGGAGTAATTCATTTCGTACGTTTTGGATGTGAATCAACTTTTCAAGTAAAATAACAACCATAAGTTCAATGGGATATTTTTATTATATTTAAATATACCCGTTTGAACGATTTTCATAAAAAGTCAAATTTAAAATCTTATAGTTATCAAATTAATCACACGATCAATTTGATTGGAGAATATTTCAAATGTAGTATTAGTCAAATGTAAGTGCGCATAAAGTATCTGCTTACTTTGGGTTTAATCTTTACACTGTTGCAGCCGAAATATGAATCTTGTCACTTCTCTCAAATACTACTTATTAAAACATTAAACTAAGTACGTGCGTTAGAAACATAACTTTTTCAAATTAACCAAATTCAGTCTAACTTATTATACTCCATTTTTTATATGATGTCATTTTAAATTAAATTTGGTTTATTTGAAAAAAAAAAAAGTATGGAGTAGTTTACACTCAAAACTTTAATAATAATAATAATAAGAGTAAATACCCAAAATGGTCCCTCGACTATAGCTAAATTCACAAATTGGTCCTCGACTTTCAATTTCAACCAATTAAGTCCTTAACTTTGCAATTTTGACACGATTTGGTCCTCCATCTATTTGACCGTTTGTTAACCGCGATCTTTGAGGATATATATGTAATTTCACGTGCAAAGCTCAAGAGAACGCTCTTGGAGGTGACATCATTGTTTCAGACGGGGAAGTGCTTCTCTGCTTACTGCTTGGGGATCACGAGCCGGTTCAGCTTAGAGAACGCTCTTAGAGGTGACAGCGCCGTTTCGGAGGGGGGAAGTGCTTCTCCGCTTGCTGCTTGGAGATCCCGAGCCGGTTCAACTTGTCTACTTCGCTTGAAGTCACGGCTTTCTCGAAGAGCCACTCTAGGGACTTCGGCGATCTATCTATCAAAAGCTATAATCTCTCCGGCATGGGGTGCAGCGCCGACAGTGGATTCAAATGTAATAGTGCGGTCTAGAAATGCAACCGGAACCTTAAAAAACCGGCGATGGACCATGAATTACATATATATCCTAAAAAAGCGCAGTCAACAAACGGTCAAATCGACAAAGGACCAAATTGTGTTAAAATTGCAAAGTTAAGGACTTAATTGGTTGAAATTAAAAGTCGAGGACCAATTTGTGAATTTAGCTATAGTCGAGGGACCATATTGGGTATTTATTCTAATAATAATATTTTTTTTAGATAATCATAATTCTTTACTAGGTAGTATATTCTGAAAATTAATTATTCTCGTCATATAACTTCAATCCAGTGATCATATATTTAAATTGATATCGATGACATTACGTAGTAGTTGAAAAAAAAAAGATTTTATTAAAGAAAGTATATTAATGTTCATGCTTAATAAGACCGACATAAACGCAGTAGTGTATACGGAAGTTCCTGGGCTCAGTAAAACTGAGGATTTCCCAAAGTTGAGCATTCAGGTTTGGCAGTTAGGTGAGACCCCCAACTACCTTTGAATTTCTCGCCGCTGTTCGCAGAGCTCCAGAGGTGAGGATTTGATTGCACGAGCAATGCTGAGTTGAAACCAGATTTGATATTTATAGTGTGTGTATTAATATCCTGGTCAACCCAAGCTGAAGAAGCTCAAGAATCAAGATCCCCCTCCAATCCCCATATCTGAGAAAGTTGACCCACTGTTCATGTTATCCATCTTGCAAGCCCAAAATCCGCCATTTCTGAGCTGGGATTCAGGGATTCTTGTAATGCCCAGTTGAAGAAGCTAAGCAGATTTGATCTCTGGAAGTTGAAGATCCCCATTTCTGAGAAAGTTGACTTCTTTGATACATTTTTTCACATTCTCTATCCGATTTCTGAACTGGGGTTTCTCTAATTCTTGCATGGGGGAGGAAGAGAAGATCCCCATTCAAAGCAACCAAGTGGAGGAAAACGAGGGAGATGGAGGGAAAAGGGGGTGGGGGTGGGGGTGGGGGCCAGTGTATTGGCTGAGAATGCTGGCCAAGGAAACGCACTGGAGCTTTGTGTTTGGGGTGGTGGTGGTGTATGGGATCAGCCAGGGATTCGGCGGCGCGTTTGGGCGCGTTAGCACGGAGTACTACATGAAGGATGTGCAGAAGGTGCAGCCCTCTGAGTCTCAGGTGTATACAGGGATTACTGCCATTCCTTGGCTTGTGAAACCGCTCTGGGGTCTCCTCACTGATGTGGTTCCCATTTTGGGATATCGCAGGAAGCCTTACTTCATTTTTGCTGGTAAACCATTTCTTATTTATACATATATATATATCTCTCTCTCTTTGATTTTACCTGTGTTTTGTTCTATAATGCTATATTAGATGCAGTAATTCTGTAATTGATAGCTTTGCCTCATGAAAAATGGTGTTTGATTAGTTTGACTTGTGGAGGAGCTAGCACTTAAGTTTTGCATTTGCACCTAAAGATTCTTTTTTTTTTTTTTTTGAGTGACGATGGAATCGCTACTTGAGGGTGTGCATCGATTAAACCCCACCTTGTAGCCCTAGCCGGCAAAGGATCACAAGGAGTTAAACCAGCCTAGATTGCCTGTAGCTGACCAGCTCAATTGCTCAAACCAAAAAGAAGGCTAATAGGCCGCTCGATTAAATCCCGTCTTGTGACCCTAGCTGGCAAAGGATACAAGGAGTTAAACCAGCCTAGGTTGCCCGTAGCTGACCGGCTCAAACCAAAAAGAGGCCAATAGGCCGCTTCCTATGAGGAGTTGAACTTGTAATCTTGTGGTTACCAAGTTCACAGTCTGACCATCTTGGTTAGTTGGGGTTGCCCCTAACGTTTAGTGTGTGGCACATGAAATGTGAAGCAAACTTACTGATTAGTCAATGTTAAAGCTAAGTGGTAATCATGTATGGTGATGATATGATGAACTAATTTACTAAGTAAAGAAGCTCAAAATGGAAAGCTAGCTTTTGTTTGTCAAGCTATAGCTATGCGGTAAACAAATTAATGGTGCTATATGCTTCTAGTAATGTAACTATGCATTTTATATAGGAAGAAAGATTGTAGAAACAATTGTATATAGGGAAATGATATAAATTGCAAAGAAGAAAGCTTCAATTTGGAGTATCTGTTCAATTTAAAGCGAGTCTTCTGCAAATGGAAGTTTGAAATTCAAGACTTTATAAGAACGTGTATTGGCAAATATATTGAAAAGATTGGATATAATAATCCAACAAATTAACTAGTCTAACCCATGGCCTTATAAACTCATATGATCTCTCTTATTTTATCAATGTGGGACTCTTAACAGTCAGCAACCATAAACAACAAAAATAACAAACTGATGGAACATTGGAATTGAACTTTTATTTGGAACGTTTTCTCTAATGTAGGGAATTGAATTTGGTAATTTCAGGTTCTCTTGGAATTGTCGCTATGCTGTTCTTATCATTGCACAAGAAGCTGCATATTGTGCTCGCACTGCTCTCCTTAACAGCCGGAAGTGCCGGGGTTGCAATTGCTGATGTCACTGTTGATGCGTGTGTGGCACAGAATAGCGGTACCCATCCTTCCCTTGCAGCCGATATGCAAAGCTTATGTGCCTTGAGTGCCTCTATTGGTGCACTAGTCGGGTTCTCTTTAAGTGGTATTGCTGTCCATGTAATCGGGCCTAAGGTTAGTTTTACTTGCACTATTTGTACTTAGCTTCAGTGATTTAACTGCAAAATTCTGAGACCGTGAAAATGCAATTGTTTGCTTTTCTGTTTTTTTTTTTTTTTTTTTTTTTTTTTTTTTTTTTTTCTCGGATTCAAAGGGGGTGTTTGGCTTGTTGGCTATACCATCAGGGCTCGTGTTTTTTGTTGGAATTTTGCTCGATGAACCTAAGACACACAATTTCCGTTATCAACAGGTATTAAATATTTAAATCCTATTGTTTACTATTTGGTCGTTTATTTTGATCAATGTCTAATCTCCTAATCCAACTTCAGGTAAGCCAGAATTTTGTGGATGCTGCAAAAGCAATGTGGAGAACTTTGAAATACCCTGCTGTTTGGCGGCCATGTCTGTATATGTATTTGTCCCTTGCATTGAGTTTCGATATCTCTGAAGGAGCGTTTTACTGGATGACAGATGCGGAGGGAGGACCTCGTTTTTCGAAGGTACATAGATATGATGATTCCATGTTCTTTTAGCATTACGTGCCTGTGACCCTATATTCCTTGTTACTTTATAAAGCTAGATTTTGTGGGAACCACTATTTGAAAAATGAAAAATGCCTGGGTTTGGGGGTAACCCCAGCCAAATTGGTCAGACTCTTGACTTGGTTATCACAAGGTTACAAGTTCGACTCACAACAGGAGCGGTCTATTGGCCTTCTTGGTTTGAGCTAGTCGACTATGGGCAACCTATGTTGGTTTACCTCATTGTGGCCCTTTGCCGGGTAGGGTCACAAGGCAAGGCGGGTTGAGTAGTGGCTGTGGGTGCCATATGCCTTTTGGCTCTAGCACTCGGCAGAAGGCAATGACTTAGGCCCTGTTTGGTAAAATAGTTAGCCTATCAGTCAATTTTGACTTATTTGACCACTATTAGCTGTTTGACTTGGTTAAACAATCAATATGAATGTTTGATTAATTAACTTTTTGTAAAAACTTATTGTTCCAAAAAGCTGCTCAAAGTAGCTTTTTTGATAAGCTTTTTGAGAAAGTCATTTTGTATGTAATCTAACAGCTAATTTACCAAACACTTTTTTTACAATCAGCTAATGTTATCAACTAGTCAAACCTACTAACTTAATCAGCTAACAGCCATTTTCCAAACTCCCCCTTTATAGTGTTAATAAGCTCTATAATTATGTTACTTATGCAGGAGAGTATTGGTTACATATCTGCTATTGGAGCTGTTGGATCTCTGTTGGGCGCTATACTTTACCAGTACGGATTAAAAGACCACCCGTTTAGAGAACTGCTCTTCTGGACTCAGTTACTATTCGGTCTCTCGGGAATGCTGGATTTGGTGTTCATACTACGCCTAAACCTGAGATTTGGCATACCGGATTACTTTTTTGTGGTGATAGATGCCAGCATTTCTCAAATGATAGGCCGGCTCAAGTGGATGCCCCTTCTGGTACTAACCGCTAAGCTCTGCCCTCCCGGCATCGAGGGCACATTTTTCGCCTTGCTCATGTCGATCGACAATTCTGGACTTCTTACATCATCGTGGGGCGGAGGCTTCTTACTCCACATCCTAAACGTCACAAGGACGCAGTTCGGTAAACTCTGGCTAGCCGTCTTGATAAGAAACATACTAAGAGTCACTCCTCTTTGTCTGCTGTTCTTGGTCCCGAGAAGCGACCCCAACTCTTCCCTCCTCCCGAGTGAAGTTCTGAGCTCGAGGGATGGCGCTCCCGAGGCTCCTGCATCACCCCAGGACCAGAATGTCGAGCTTGTTTCCCTCGTGGAGAACATGGATAACGCGAGATAGCCCGAGGTAAAAAAAAATTTAAAAAAAAAAAAAAAAACGCAAATCTTTAAGTAAAAAGAATTTGATTCTTATGCAGGCTGCTACTTGAACTTGAGAAGATACATAGATACTATAGAGCACAAACTTTCCTAGTCCCACACTGCTATTCCTTGCAAATTCATTCATTTTGCATTTGAGTTTTAAATGGTGTAATTGATTGGCAAGAGAGTTTGTTCCTGTTTTTACTTTCAGTTCATTTTTGTTACTGTAAGCAAATTAGTTTATGCAGAGAGAGAGAGAGAGAGAGAGAGAGAGAGAGAGGCTACACAATGAAAACCCAAGGTTATTATAATACATACTACATACATGGTCATTATTAAGTATTTTTTTTTGTTCCATTTTATCTGTCTTATAAGTCTTTTAGTCATATACATCATAATAGCAACTTTGAAAAAATTTAGATTTTTAGTTTATTGGCTTATAGTCCATGAATATAACACTTAACTCCGCATTAAAAAATATGATCAAAATAGAATCCATAAAGCCATAAAGGTATTGTCCTCCCATGCATATTCATGCCTAACCCTAACAACCTTTGCTTTTGCCTCACATGATCATCCTACCACAATTTAATGCATTCACTTCCTTCTTGTTTCTCATTCAAACTGCCAAGAAACTTTACAAATCACCCATACAAAATTCCCTTTATAAAGGATACTAAATGAAGCTCTCTTCACTCTCACACCCCACATTTGAGTGTCTCCCCAATACCATGTTGCCATTTCATAACATTCTCTGGAAATTCATGCTTGTCCTAGCATGGATAGCCCCAGCTTGCCATGGAGGTGGAGGTGGAGGAGGAGGAGGAAGATACGTGCGTGATGCTTGCAGTGTGACTATACACCAGGACCTCTGCATACACTCCCTCGCACCGTTTTCCAACAAGGCCAAAAACCACCCTGACAGATGGGCACGGGTAGGGCTATCTGTGACCATACGTCAAGTCAAGGCCATTGCGGGGTCACTTTCAAAATTGAAAAGCCAGGGTTCCCTAAGAGGAAGAAGCCAGATAGCGTTGGGGGACTGCGTCGAGTGCTTCGAGGATGCCCTGGACAGCCTTCACAGGTCACTCGGGGTGCTGAGAAAGCTGAATGCCAAGAATTTCACCACACAAATGGGAGATGTTACAACATGGATGAGTGCTGCCCTCACCAATGAGGATACTTGCTTGGATGGTTTTGGTAGGCCAAAGAGAAAGAAGGTTAGATGGTTGGTAAACAAAGTCACAAATGTGAGTTACTTGACTAGTAATGCCCTGGCTTTGGTTAACAAACTAGCTACAACTGGCCCTCAATGCCTACACCATTGACTTGCAAGTTGCAACTGCACCACTCCTAATTTTACTTTTCTCTAATACTTATTTTAGTTTTCTCTTTTGTTAACGAATAAGGCTGTGCCATTGTATTTTAGCTTAGTACTTGGTTTAATCCATTGCTAAAATTGAGGAATTGAAAGATTTGGTAGGCTACAAATAATCACCACCCACTAGTTAGGTAAAAGTAAAATTAGTGAGAAACCAAAGAAAAGAATATATACAATATATTATTCTATTTATAATAATAGCTTACAATAGATTGCAGTAAAGACCCTATATTTATAGGAATATTGGGTTAAGTCATTCCTATAAACAAGGCTAAAATTTCCCAGTAACAATGGGTGATTGGTTTCCCCCTCCTATGAATCCAAAAAACCTTATTATCTCCACCATGGCAAATCATATTGTGGACCACTAATACATGCTCATTTCTAGTATACTAAATGTTCATTATTATTAATTAAAAGTTCATTTTTAAGCAATATACTTAAAATAAACCTTCAATACACTAAAAATGAACCTTATGTCAGTGATTCACCTGGCAACGTGGACCATAGTCCACGGTATAAGCATGGCCACTATCATCATTGTTGATTATGTTTAAAGAAGAAATGGAAATTGTCATATATGAAATAAATTGATGCATGCCTAGAGTTCCATGAGTGAAATATGGCAGATTCATCCACAGCCAGTTGATAATAAACACACAAACATAACTTAACAACAAAGTAAACCATGAACTTTGAGACCATTGCTTTGGTCTGCAACAAAGCACTAAAAGCAATTCATACTCATATGAGTGAGATAACTCCGGAGGATGAAAAACCAATTCATTACTTTAATAACTACAGAGCATAATGAAGTTGGGCATTCATTATACAAGCCAACACAAGCCTAAGATCCAGTGGTTGGACGAGATACAAACTAATAGGGAAAGTAACAGTCAACTTCCATCTGATGCTGCAAATAGTAGGCTATGTGCATTAAGATTTAAGAAAGAAACTACAGTAATTGATGCATGATAAGAAGAAACTACAGTAATTGATGCATGATAAGAGTATTTTGATCAAAGATCTGCACAGCTGTTAACAGCATTCACTATACCAATTTCTCTTCATAGTAGCCAATATGATTGCATATGGAGGATGGAGACTATCATTTCATATACCATATCAGTTTGAGGCCAATTTTTTCAAATGTTGCAACGTCTTCTGTTTTATCCACTGCCGATCGTAAGGCAAGTACGCCTGAATTGAGTGATCATAGCTGCAAGATGGAAAAAAATCCATGAATAAATTGCATTTCATAGGATAGTGAAATTTCAGCATGCATTGTGTGTGTATGATGCAGGTTGATATCTTTGACACAGAAAAGGAGCAAAGCTGTGGATGAACTAAAGACACCTTGAGCATATATGCACGATGTGCCCTGATACTAGTTTAAAGAAATTATCTTAGTACAAACCAAGTCCAATAACCTGCGCTGGAAACTAGAATCAGTGCCACCAACAAGCTCTCTGGGTTAACCTCTTTCCTCATGCCACTTATGGTAGTTGAGCTGCTTTTTTTATTTCCTCTTCTTTTTCCCCTTCTATTTATTTTTTTATTTGATGGTGCAACCAGGTGAAAGGGGGGAGGGGAGTACTGAGAATGAACCTAAGTTTCCATGCATGAGACATGGACATATATTCTGTGTGTTTTAAATGGGATTCCATGCCATTATGCAAGTGCACATGCACATGCACATGCTTGTGTGTGCATCTAGAGGGTGAAGAGTGGGGAGGAGGAGAGAGAGAGATATACACTAGTGCACTCATGTCTGCAAGTCCATCAATAAAATTGTAAAGATCAGAGATATCATAAGAGATGTTTCTTATAGCTGGGTTTAACTCCTTCAGCTTTCTTTCATATAGAGCACAAATTCCTGCACCAAAACAAGGAAAAGCCTGTTATCAATTTATCATAACATTTTAACAGTGTCCCTAGTTAAGAATGCCCCATGGCTAATTCATAAAAGTTTAAATACTTTGCTTCCAATGTATTGCCATCAACCAGAAAAGACAACAATGAAAGGAAAGCTCAAATACATGGAGGCTTTCCAGAGAATTTGTGCTTAGAGGAGTTGGCTACCCTGTGCAGAGGGGTAAAAGATAAATGTGTGAGGATCTTTTTTTTTTTTTTTTGGTATGAAGAAATGTCTGCAGTTGGTATAGAATTCATCAGCTCCATGAAAATCTTTCAGCAAAACATTTGTCAGCAGCAACACGGAGCATTTACTTCTAAATGACTTCAAGAATGAGTGGAATTGCATAATGGAAATGCATTTGGGATATGTGCATTTGAGGTAAAGTTTAGTTTTTGAAAATTATTTAAAATCATGTCAAATGCATATGCCATATGCATTTCAGATATGGGTTGACTCAAACACATTTCAGAAATAAGTTCTTCCCCCTTTTGTCCAGATTTCAATGGGCCACATGATTGATCAAGTGTTGAAACTTTTACTAAATGAAAAGTGATGAAATTGAAAAAGAATTGTGAAAGGAAGCAGGGTAAGAATGAAGAATTAGGGAATTACTCCTAGAGTTTTGAACCATTGAATCAAGATTTCCCCTAGACATCATACTTAAAACATTGCATTTCAGGATGCTGTAGAGAGGATAATGCTGAAATTTTATTCAAATTGAATACCAAAGCTAGAAAGCTAAATAGGGGTATTTATATAAACTCGAAAGACATAACCCTACTCAAATAAGACTCCAAAATTAATTCAATTACTAGAATCCCTACTCCCAGCACGACTCAAATTACTAAAACAAAGGTTCTTGGTAATATAAACTCTATGATGTTGGACCATATTTTCCAGAGTTTAAGCAAACCGCAAATTTTAAGCAAAAATAAATAAATAAATAAATACCACCAATCGAAACAGTTTCTCTTTAACTGTTTCAGTCCTGCATCAACAGGTTTTGAGAAAGTATCCAAAAAAGCTATAAAACCAAGAGCTGATAAACAGTGATAGGGTGAATGTAATCTTAGACCCACACATTTAAATTTGTTTTTCTTCTTTTCCTATTCAGTAGATTCAAGAAATCATAGGAAATAGCCATTTGATTAGTAGAAACATCATCAGTAAGGCAAAAACCACAGCCATCCATAGTAGCAAGTTAAGCAACTTAATTGCAAAAGCAGCAGAAACAAAGAAAAACATAAGAGAAAGGATCTAGTCATGCAGAAATTAGCAAAACACAATTTTTTTTATTTTTTTATTTTTTTTTGACGAGCACAATTTAAAATATTAGATTCAGTTATTTAAGTGCAAATTAAACATCATTGCAATTACATCAAGGACTAGACTTGAGAGCCAAATAAAAAGAAAGTGCATCTTCAAAGGCAAGAAAGGAGATGAAGGGAAAAACATAAACCACAAAATTCTGAATCTTTTATCAGATGACACAAATATGTTTGACATTTATGACATGCAATAGACCAAGAATACTGCAATTTATCAAGAACCAATAAACCAAAAATCACCATAGAAAGGATCCTAGCACAACTCTCCATTACTATGAACTTTATGGGGTCTTAATAAAGGCATATGATGGCCCATTAGGCCATTACCAATTCCACTAGGTGATCAAAATCCTAATGTTTCCTTTTAAATCTTTTTTTTTTCTTTTTTCATTTTGAGGGGCATAGAGTCAAAAGGAATGAAGTTAAGGATATAGATCATCACAGTCACCACATGACACGTACCATCCATTGCTTGAGTGATGGAATCATAATCCATAAAAGTGCGAGTTCCTCTATGCTGAGATGTTTGCATGAGAATAATAGTGTGTTTATTTGCCTGCAAAAAAAAAAAAACCAAAGACAACATGAAAGTATGCCAAGAATAAGTCCATGAATTTTAGGTCTCGATTCACTAACAACCCTAATACATAATACATCAAGCCTAGCTATAGCCAATAGCAAGAGAGAATTTTTTTTAACTATAGCCAAGCGGGTAAAAATAAAAATAAAAAAGACAATTCAACAAGTACAGAAAGTGAAGTGGAGGCTAGGTTGATCCTTAAAGGGAAGAGTCATAAAAACTCCTCTCATACTTTAATTCCCACTGGCTTGCTTCATAATCAACAAAACTAAATCTTAATATTCCCAACTCTACTACTCAGTCTACTCTTGCTTCTCCTAGTACTCAACTTCTACACCACTATTAATTAATTCTTCAAAAAGAGTGCAACATTCTCAATGAAACCAAAAGTAAAACTACGCCAATATAGTGAACACAACTATTGTCAGTCTATTCAATCATAATAACCAAACAAGAAATCAAACACATTACAAAGGTTCCAGAAGCCCAAAAAAAAAAAATTAAATTAAATAAATAAACCAAAAAAAAAAAAACATCTATTAGAATTCCAGAAGCCTTATCTGACATATACAGTACATAGAGAAACTACTGTTGAAGTGATATCAACTATGGAAACCCTAATATTTGAGAGGCACTAAAAAAAGTTAAAAATTAGAAAACAATACTCGGCTAAATCGTATGAAGCGTAAATAAAGGAAAATCGGTGGAGACATTACCATTGGTTACGATGGAAGATCAAAGCCAAGTTTATGAAGCCTTTGGCGACGTTTTCAGGAGAGTGTTAAGTAGAAATGGGAGGAGTTTGGAAATTTGGGCAGATGTTTATCCAAGTCTGCGTTTGGTGACCCGGTTCGGAATTACATGTAAACAGTAAACATATTTAGATTGCTTTTGGTTGGAATATGAAATTTGTAATTGGAATAGGAATCAAATATTTAGAATGAGTTTTAAGAAAAGTAGAGCAAATGTGCAATGCTCCCTAAAAAAATAATAATTGAAATAAAAATAAACAAATAATTAAATAAATATATAAAGATATATAGAGGGTCATAGAGCGTTTGTAGTGTAATATTTATTAATTTTATTTTAACATATTGTACTATTTTCATAATATTTGTTCTAACCGTTTATATAGTTAATATGTTCATGAACTATAATCTTTATTAATGGTTGTGGATAATCTTATATATTTTTATTTCTGTTAATAATAATAATATAGTATATACTTAATAGACATGTGAATAATATAGTATATACTTAATAGACATGTGATGGTAGTTTAGTAGACTCTACCTAACCTATTGTATAGGAGAGTATTACGTTAGATATTCCTATAAGACTATTGTTGTAACCAATTGTGAATTCAATCGATTTTGAACCTGTAACATTCATCATTTCAATATTCCTGCTTGTCAGCTCCATCCTCTTCCGACATTCATGCTTTTTCAGATTCAGACTGGACTGGCTGTCCGGTTGACAGGTCTACCCGTGGTTATGTAGTGTTTCTAGGGTCCAATCTCGTCTCGTGGGTTTCTCGCAAGCAACGCACGTTGACTCGCTCTTCGACTGAAGCAGAATACAAGAGTCTTGTTGATGTCTCTCCCGAAGTAACTTGGATTGTCTCATTACTCTGAGAGCTCGGTCTACTGGTAATCCAGCAACTTTGTGGCGTGACAATCTCGGAGCCACGTACCTGGCTGCCAACCCGGTTTTTCATGCATGGACTAAACATGTCGTGATCGATTATCACTTTGTACGAGGTAGCGTCAGGAGACTTCATCGTTATTATCACTTTGTACGAGGTAGCGTCAGGAGACTTCATCGTTAACTTTGTGTCTACAAAGGATCAGCTGTCCGATATATTCACAAAGTCGTTGCCAGCACCGCGTTTTCAAGTTCTCCGGGACAAGTTCATTGTTGTTTCCCTCCAACCTTGTGCTTGAGAGGGTGTGTTAATAATAATAATATAGTATATACTTAATAGACATGTGGTGGTAGTTTAGTGGACTCTACCTAACCTATTGTATAGGAGAGTATTACGTTAGCTATTCCTATAGGACTCTATTGTTGTAACCAACTGTGAATTCAATCGATTCTGAACCTGTAACATTTATCATTTCAATATTTAAAAGTAGAGGAGAAGAAAAGAAATGTCGTTTATGATTATTAAAAATTTGAATCTAATAGTGAAAATTAAACAATTAAAACAAACATAACAATTAGAATCAAATTTGGGGGGCAACCCCATGCTCCAGCACTCCAGGGTATAAAGGAACTTGTAACCTTGTTATTAATTAATAGTTTGATCAATTTGGTTGAAGTTGTTCCACGTTTAAGTTATTTTAAAGATGGGTATAAGACATTGTTTTTGTAAAGTAAAATAATAATAAAAAAGACAAAACATAGCTATAAACTTTGCCCAACTGAGCAATAGAGTGATAAAGTTCAGCATCAAACTATAAGTGTAAATCATATTTTATACATACTATTTGTATTCAGTTAATAGGAACAAGTCACTCTAATCAAGTACAATTTCAACCAATTACAACAAAAAGTGACTCTCCCAAATAGGAGGTCATAAATTCAATCCTTAATCCTCAATAAGTTGAGAAAGTAGATGACATTGTGTAAAAAAAGAGATATTGTGTTGAACCTTAATCTGACAAGGTTTTATGAAAATTAATTCATGATTGAAAATAAACTTAGTTTGTTTTCTTTTAATCAACCATAGAAAAGAATTGGTAGATCTTCAGTTGAATTAGGGAATAAAGTGCATATTCATTTATCCATATTATACGTGTACACTCCTATTTTCATTGTGGTTATCAGGTTATACAACATAGCACAATATAGTATTGTAAAATTTGGCATTTATACATTGAAGACGTAAGAGAATGAATGAATGAAATGACTATATTGTAGTCTCTACTAATCTCTACAATATCTTATAATTAAATTCAGATGATCTATTCAATGTGCCTGAACGGATGATAAGGCAACAAAATTAGTTGCCATATTACATAATGCAGCCTCACAGAATTTGTATAAAACCTATGATAAAGGGACAATAATCCTACTGCTGCCAACAAAATCTCAAGCTATATACCCTACAGGCTACAGCTAAGGTTTTCCTTATTGTATGAAACCAGGATGATCCTGTCATTTGTGACCGCACAAAATAACAGTTCCTGGTTTGACCAAAATAATGAATTTCCCAATCACATTTAACCAACAGACAAAAAAAGGTTGGTGACACAGAAAGGAAGTATTAACACATTGGAATTGTCATGTTCGGGGGTCGCTGCTACCAAATGGAAACAAGACGGGAACCTGAACCTGCACAATATCAAGATCATCATAGTGTTATCAAAGAATGATGTTTTTGTTCCAAAGGTAAGTGTTTTCAGCTGTCTTAATTAAACCTAAAATTGAGTCAGCAAACAGGAACACGCTTGAAGATGGCTAACAATTACACGTGCACATTCAATTCAAATCTCGAGTAAAAATAACCAATTCAAAACATTCACTTTTTGCTGCTTTAAATATTCAAATGATTTGTTTGATGATCAATTACCACCTTGTCTCCTTAGCAGTCTGGTGATGGCTATTTCCCACTCACCAGTCCCTTCAACAATGATTTCTAATAACAGGAAAGTTTATGCAAGGATATTAGCATTTAAAAATTTCCCACTTCATTTGTCAGCTAGAAGTGACTTATGTGCCCCATTAATTTTATATATATATGGCAAGGCAGCTTTAGTTTTAGTTAGAATGTAAATGGCCTTTCCAAAGTCATACACAAGCACTCAATCACCTGGCTACATATGTGCCCTAAAGTAAAAAAGAATACCCCAAGGAAAAAAAGACTGAACACTGCAATAGAAGAAAGTCAAAAAGAAAAATATAAGGACTATGGAGAGTGTTTTTACCTGCACAGTTTCTCATACAACAAAGGTTGCAAGAAGAGCATGTAACACGGCCCAATACAATATTACACCAAGCCGCAAAGCAGGTTGTCGCATTAGAGTCCGATCACAAGATACCCTGGAAGAAAACAAAAACAAGCCGTAAAAGATAATTAAATTCATGTACACCACTTCTCTGCCCGAAAGGGGAAATAGACATATGGATAATTCCTTACCATAAACCATCTACCATGTCAGTCAATGGTCTTGTAAACTTTGGTACAACTCTTGAGGTAGTTAACGACTTGAAACCATGTGCTGAAATCAAGGCACATGATGAGAAAGACATATCTAACAATAATAATAACTAATATAAACCATCTTAGATAATAAGAAAATTTCACAGGTGATACACTTAAAAAGAGGTAAATAATTTATGTCTAGTGCTCTCCCTTGTGTCTCAATGGGGAGGAACAGATAACCTATACTAATCCATTGTAACTAAAAATAATATACTCGCAAATCATTCATTCCCTCAGTGGCACTCATGATTTGCTTAGAAGGTGTAGCCTCCATAGAACCAGAAAAAGAAAGACTATGGCACTTGGCTAGGTAAAAAAAAAATAGAGAATGGTACTTGGCCCCTATTGACTTACTTTGGTTATTATGAACTGAGAGAAAGACACACTAATCTGAAGGCTCATAAATGTTTCTTGAGAAATTTAAGGACTTCATTTGCAAACCTGAAGGGGCTCACAAATGTCTATTTTTTTTCATCAAAACTAGTGCAAACTATAATTTTACAGACAAAACTTAAGTATTTGAGTATTTCCAACACAATAATTTTTTTTAAAAAAGAAGAAATATTAGGTTGACCAAAATACCCTTCTAAACATGTATAAAGTAACTCATTTCTGTTCAAAACTAATGGCAATTGTATTTTACTTACAAACTTAAGTATTCCCAAGCATATTAAATAGATCAAAACAACTTCTCAATTTAAATTGGCTAAATTAACCTTCTCAACCTTTATTAACTTGTTTCTGGTCTTTCAAGTAAGAAACTTAGGGAAGAGTTCTGCAATGATAACTGGTATGAAAGTGATACTTATTTGCATAAACATTAAATGGAGTATTATTTATGTAACTAACATAACTTGAAAAATTCAGGTCATGAACTGTTTTTTAATAAAATTATTCACTGGCCATTTTGTATCTTTTAAATGTACTGCTACTTTAAATGAGAAAGCTAATAGATTAAGTTTTGTCTATGTGCTATGAAATCACTCTATATGCTTCCCTAACTATGGCTCTAGGAGCAGATGAATAAGAAAACCTCCTGAACCCAAGAAACAAAAATCAAACTACCATTCTTTCACTGAAGAGATTGTTTTAATGGAGGAGGCAGTAATGAAGGACAATTTGATGCAGATTTTGAGGGGGAAAAAAAAAAAAAAAAGATAATCTTGCATCTTCATGGGCTAAAGCAGCTATGTATTCACAAAGCATAGTTTATGGTTTTGCAAAGGGATTGGTAGGTGGCAAAATGTTTTTCCTATTTCTTTCAAGTAGAGGGTATCTTCTGCTTGTTGCTTCTATAGATCACATAATTAATTCAAAAGGGAGAAAAATAAAATAAAAAACCACAATCCATATAAATGTACTATGAATAATATAATGAAAAATAACTTCATTAAATGTGAGAAAGAAATGTGGCATTACCCTTATCATCATCTTCGTCTTCAAGCTCCCTACCATCAGGATTCACATCTACAGCAATGGCAACATGATCATTGTTGGTTTTGCGCAAACTGCGAACTTGAGAAGTGACTGTCCCAGGTGTGTCCCACTTGTTCTGCATAGGAAGCACAAAAGAAAAAGGTGCTGTCAAACTAGACCAAATAGAGACAATTTTTTAAATTCAAAGTTTAATTGGTGTGATCAATTCTAGATAAAAATTAACTAGGTTTGGGGGGAAATGCAACATTATGTTAAGCAACCTAATATTTGGGCCCTAATAATTAAGTTCTAAGTGCACAAAGCTTGGGGGTCCAATGAGTCTATGAGAACCAATCTAGTGCATTAAAAAAACAGATCTATGGATGAGATCAATTGGGGGTCCAAAATTCACGTGTGCATATGAGGCATGTGCTGTGTGCAATTGGGGGTTTCAAAATTCGTGTGTATGCGGTGTGTGCATGTGCTGTGCAATTGGGGGATTCAAAATTCGCGTGTGCATATTAAGCATGTGTTGTGTGCAACATAGTATATGCACAAATCATATGCCCTGTAAGCACATGCGAATTTTGAACCCCACCAAACTAATCTCACCAATAGATCTAATTTTTTAATGCAATGGTTCTCACCCAACTAATCCCATCCACTATCCTATGTCAAGGCTTTTTCCTTATGTCTATTTCCAAATAAACAATTTATACAGAAGTTTATCTAGGATTGTATACCCCACATCAAGCTTATATGACAAAGTATGATAGTGATTAGACAGTGTTTAAAAGTTGGTAGTTAGGAGAATAGGAGATTGACCCAAAAAAGAAAAAAAAAATCATAAAAACGCCTCTACCTTATCTTTTCAAGGTCTGAAAGTATCAATTTGAAGTTTGCTTTCTCACATTTCATGTCATGATAATATATAATCAATTATCAATTAAAAAATAAATAAAAAGGAAAATCAAGGTAAAAAACAAGATGATGAAAATTAAGTGTGTTGCTGAAGGAAACTCGGTCGAAAGTTAAAAGAAGAGTGATCACAGTTGATTAATAAAAATTCTTAGGAACACAGTTTCACAAATAAAGGGACATACCAGAGGTTCTATTTCCACAATCTCAGAGCTTGTACTAGTTACACGTCCAGGGTCTCCAGCACCTCTTAGTATGGCCAATTGAGCATCCTTTTCATGTAAGGAACTCTCAAGGATATCTTCTTTACTCATCAGTTCTTCCACTTTAGCTTTCTCAGATTGCAACAGCAGATCCTTGCTTTGTGTTGCAACACGTAGACCTTCCAGCTCGGACACAATAGACATGAGCTGCTTCTGTAGACTTTCTTTATATTCATGGACCTGGTTAACTTTCACATTATCAAGATTTGCATCATTTGCCTGGACACCAGAAATTGTCTTGTCTAACCATGCCAACAAATCATGAACTTCATCACTGCTCCGTTTGCTGCTCATCTGACTTGCAGCTAGTGCATCATTTGTGCACCTAGTAACCTCCTGCCTCAAGAATGATATTTCTCCATCTCGCTCTTGCAATTGTGACTGAAGTGACTCAACCTCAGAGAGCAGGTTTTCAGATAGATTATGGAGTTCATCAAACTTACTTACTGTGACAGAAAGCTTCTTCAGAGCCTTCCCACGGGAAACTTCGAGGTTCTCCATATCTTTATTTTTTTGTAGCAAAGCTGTTTCCAGTTCCCCAATCTTGTTTGACATCTCTTCAATTTGAGCTTCTTCTTCATCAAGCGCTTGCATCAATGCCTCATTTTCTGAGAGGAATATTAAATTCAGTATTTACAATGGGGACTAAATTTGAAAATGTAAACATATTTTGCATAGGCAAATAGAGTGAGCCAAAAGTGGATACTACAGAAAAAATAATAATAAAAATAAAGTTTACAAATGTAAACGCAGTTACAACACAGATCTAACATAACAGACCTTGTTCCTTTGCAGCAACCGTATCTTCAAGCGATTTAACTCTTCTTTGTGCATCTGCAAATGCAGCACCCTGATCTTGCATTTCTTTTATTCTATATTCCAATTTAGTTTGCTCCTCTTCCATTGACTTCACATATCGTTGTAAATCACTTACCTGAACCTTTGTTAGCTGAAGTTCTTGTAAGTAATTATTGGCAACAGCTTCAGCTTCCTTGATCTGACTAACTAGCTCCCTACAAATTTTCTCTCGCTGGATATCTTTCTCTTGAAGCTCTTTCTGTAGATCTGATATAGAAGCTTTAATGTCCTTTTGCTTATCTTCAGCAAGCTCCATTTGCATACTCATAACGTCTTTCACAGATAAAAGCAATCTCTCACTCACAGACCTAATGCTTTCTTCAGAGTAGAAGTCATTGTCTTCGGTCAAACCTCTACCAACAGAAGGCAAAGATATCAAATTATTTCCAGGAGCAGAAGCGGCTAAATTGTTGCCAAAATTCTGTCTTCTCCAATTTTCAATGTCCACGACAGAATTAGTGCAAGCCTCATAAAGCAAGGTATTGTATCTACGCATCTGAAGCAATTCAGAATCCTTCTCCTTCTCGATAGATTTTAACCATGCAACATCTTTCTCCATGGATTCAAAAGACTGTTTTTGTGTGGTTATCTCTTCATGAATACCTCCCACAATTTCAGATATGCGTCTAGCTTCGTCATGCACCAGTTGTGAATGCGTATCTAACATTTCACGAATAGAGCTGAGTTCTACCATAAAAGCCTGCAAGTAATGTACAACATTGTTTAATTTGATTTTCTACTTTATTTTTATTTATTAAATTAATTTATTAAAAAAAAAAAAAAAAAAAAAAAAAACAAACAAACAAACAAACCATTTCTGGTGGAATGTTCCATTCTAAGAATTGAAATACAAGCTTTAGAATTAAAGTTCTGTGGATTTAGTTCTTTAGAATTGAAGTTTCAAGAGCCAAAAAACAAAGCCTGTATCTTGACCAATAGTGCAATAAAATTAATACACAAAAAAAATATTGAGAAAGCTTCACATAGTATCACAGAAAAGCTCAAAATTTTTGGCAATGTTGCCAATAAAATAGCCTTAGAGCCATAGTTAGAGGTTGAGTCCTACCAGATAGAATGTCTATAAATCTTCATTGAAAAGGGCAGTTGATGAAAAAAAATCAATGTTTTCAAGCAGGTGCAATTATTAAAGGAGTATCATTTTTTTTTTTTTTTTTTTATAATTCATAATCTTGTTGGATAAAATTTAGTTGACCAAGTACTAAGTTCTGAAAAATATTAAAAGTTACCAAGTGCATTACACAAAAATACTAAATAACAAACAGGAAAGTTTTTTAACCCAACTGCTGACTCATGCCCATTCCTAGGCAATTAACAGCATAACAGAGACAGCCAACAATAAAAAGTGAGAATACAAGTGCAATTGAAGTCAATGGTTAGATAGGCCAATAATCAAAGAAGAATTGCTATATCATGGAAGGCATGGCATGTAGCAACTTTACTGGCAAATTCCACTTAAGTATATTTTGCTTACATCTTGACAATATTGATGAGCATGACCCGTGAACATACTAGCCCTCATCTACAAGTACTTCCTTGATGAGTCTCTTAGAAGTTAGAGAGTAAATTCCAACATATGGTTTATAAACTCAATCAAAAAAGGAGGCTCACATTAAAAATAAGAAGAGGCAGATATATACCCCCACTTAAATAAATTATTTGAGTAAGAGATTATCATCATGCAGATAGACATAAATAGACCAGGCAAAACAAACAAAACCCTAGGATCATGTTAGATTATCTTTTCACATGTAAAAGAAAATATCACTGAATAAGACAAAATTGGTTGATGTTTTAATATGAGCACCAAGCTGTAGAAATATAAGATAAATTCCAGAGCAAGGAAACGGGGAAAATTATGTTGTGTATCCGGCAATACCTTGTTTGTTGATGTAATAGTAATAGTGCCACCTGGAGCAGCAGCTCCAATAAGGGCAATGTCAATTGGGGCATCCCTTGATTCTAAGCACACCTTTAAGCTGGCTCCAAGGTTATGCAAAATCTCCAAATCCTTCAAAAGCACATCACTGAATGAATTTCTAATAATAGAGAGATCACCCTTGAGTTGTTCCATGCTGGTTTTTAGTACCAGAAACTCCGCTACATGGTGTTGTCTTTCTTCAGAGTAAGCAGCAGAGAGCTTTTCAAGATTAGCAATAGCTTCATTTTTAGCAGCATCAGCAAAATCCCTTTCCTTGGATAACTTTGTAACCTCACGGAAAGCATTTGCTAGCTCCTCTTGGAGGCCATCATTTCTTTCCTGAACTTCATTTAGTTCAGCAAGCAGTAGCTCAGCTGCTCTTTTGGATTTTCTTGCTTCCTGTTCAGAGGAGGTCAGAGCGGACTGTAAATCATAGCATAGCTTGCCAACATGTTTGGCCTTCTCAACTGGGCTACTGATAGTAGACAAGACACCAAAATCAATTTCATCAAGAGCATTCAAAATAATAGCCAATATATGCTCTTTCTCCTGCAAAGAGTACTCAGCTTCAGCCACACGACTTTGCAGAAGCACACTATCAGATTCTATGCTCTTTATCTTTTCTTGGAATGTGGACTCATCCTTGATCCTTTCTTCATAATCTGAAATAACATTTTCCTGTTGCTTTATCTTAGATTTCAAGTTTTCCACATCCATATTTAACTCTTCAATTGATTGCTTCAAGCTGTCCCTATGTTGTACCAAGGATTTGCCTTTTCTAACTGCAACATTTAGTTTCTCCCTTAAAGAAGTTGACTTCATCTCCTCCTGACGGAGAAGTTCCTGCAATTCTTTTGTATTCATATTCAGAGCTTCAACTTCAGAAACCAAAGATTGATTTTTCAGCTCCTGCTGACTAAGCAGTTCCTGCAATTCTTTATATTTCATATTTAGCGCTTCAACTTCAGAAATCAAAGATTGATTCTTCAGCTCATGCTGATTAAGCAACTCCTGCAATTCTTTCTTATTTATATTCAGAGCATCAACTTCAGAAACCAACAATTGATTCTTCAGCTCCTCCTGACTAAGCAATTCCTGCAATTCTTTCATATTCATATTAAGAGCTTCAACTTCAGAAACAAAAGATTGATTCTGCTGCACCTCCTGGCTAAGAAGTTCCTGCAACTCTTTCTTATTCATAGTTAGAGCTTCAATTTTAGAAACCAAAGATTGATTCTTCAGCTCCTCCTGACTAAGCAATTCCTGCAATTCTTTCTTGTTCATATTCAGAGCTTCAACTTCAGAAACCAAAGATTGGTTTTTCTCCACAAATACATCTCTTTCCTCCTTCAAGCACATCATGTCACCCAAAGCATCCTCCAGCTTTCTATTCAGAACAGCTACATCTTTATCCTCATCATACCTCGATTCACTTGCTCCTTTCTCGCTCTCTGTCAGATCAACCTCTTGCAAAACACGTTCAACTGCTGTATCCTTATTAATAGCTTCGCCCAGAGAAAGTGTTTTATATTTATCTATAAGCATCCTCAATAATTGCTCCAAATATTTAATGCCATCAACACTATATAATTGATCATCAGTGACATTGTCCTGAAGGGCATCCCTAACCAAATCTTGCAATCTTTGTATCTCTCCCAAAATATGATGAACACGTTCCTCTATCCCAAGCATTTCATCCAATTTCTCTTGCAAGGAATTGATTGTATGCTGCATATCATCATTCCTGGCTTCAAATTGAGCAGCCTTTTCCGATATTTTTTCATGATCATGGGTAAGAGTGTCTAAATTTCTTGAGAGAACCTCTTTCTCATTGATGGCAGACTCAAATGAAGCCTCAAGATCAGATAATCTTCTATTTGACTCTTCAAATAAAGCCTCAAAATTATCACTCTTCTGCTGGAGAGAATTACAGTAGTTTTGAGCCTCTGAAAGAGCAAAAGCTATCCAACTAATCTTATCATCTGGCTCCACAGACCTCAACTGTGAAGGCATTTCTATTGTATCCAAGATGGCTTCCCAATGTTGAACAAGGTTGTTCCTTTCCATCAAAGATTGTTCAAGCATCTCGTTTTGCTCAGCCAACCTATAAAACTTGTTTTGCAGATCTTCATATTTTACCTTGAGGTCTTCAAACGAACTCAAACTTGGCTGTGCATCCTCTTTCCAGCCATCCAAGACACCAGTTCCAGATTCAGGGTATGATCCTCCAACAGCACTTTTCTGATCCCAATCAGTTACATGCAATGAGTTTCCGGAGACTGACTTAGCCAACCAGTCAATTTTTTCAAGAATGCTTTTGGAATGGAAGTGCTCCGGCAGCTCTAAATCTTCCAAAATCTCCTCTATTCTCTGGAGAACTGAGTCTTTGAGAAGGAATGATTCCCGTAATACAGTAGCAGAGTTTCGAATATATGAGAGTTCAGATTCAAGAGCTTCCATCCTCTCACCAGCCTCCGAATAGGTCTTGAGTTTCATCTCAAGTTCATGAAGCCTGGAATCTTTCAACTGCAATTCCTGTGAGCATTTCTCCAGTTCACTAGATGTCTCTGCAAGAGACTGTTTAAGACTATCACGCTGCACAATCAAACTTTTTCCCCTTGTAACTGCTATGCTTAGCTTCTCTCTTAGAGATGCCACTCGTATATTTGACTGCTCAGTTTCAGAAACTCTCTCACTAAATTGTGAATTGAGAGCCACAGCATCCTCTTTAACCTTCCTCAAGCTTTCCTTAAGAATGAAATTTTCATTTTCCATTTGGATGAATAAGAAACTCAGCTGATCTATTTGTTTTTGCAAATCAATCATTTGCTTTTCCTTAGAAGCATCTCTTTCTGAGAACAACTTTACCTGCAGAAGTGAAGCACAAAATATCACTAGAGTGCTAAACAATCATAAATGAGGAAAAATATAAAACATATTCTACTGTGCATGCGTATATATGCAAATGCATATGTACATACACAAATGAAAGCTCATATACATGCGCGAGGGATCTATAACAATTTTAAAAACTTTTGGTGGAGGGGTACTCACCTGCTCAACAGCCTCTTTGTATTTTTCAACCACGAAATGAGTCAGAGACTGTACACAGATTGCAGGTTGGTCTACATTTATATCAACTCCATCCAGTGCAATCACTCTTTCAACATATCCAACACACTTCAAGATAGAATCTGAATCAAGGAACGATTTGTTTAGTTCATTTGAATCCTTCACCTTTTCCAATTCTGAAGTGAGTTCAGAATTCATAGCCTCAATTCGCAGGTGCTCCCTATTCAACTTCCAGAATTGTTCCAAAAGGGTATCCCAAATACTAGGAAGCAAAGGATCTACTGGTTTCTCATTTCCTGTGTTGATTTCAGCTTCTCCTACTTGATCAGACATCTCATTGACAAGTCCAGTGAGATTCCCGTAGATCTTATAAATTAGACCAATTACCATTTCCTTTTCTCCTTGTAGAACATCAAACCTTTTATTCATTTCATTGAAGCTACTCGTAGCTGCTTCTTGATCAGACCGAGCAGCTTCAGCTTGCCCATGTAGAGATTCAATCAATTTGATGGCATTGTTGACAGAAGTAGCAATATGGCTGGTTAGGGCAAGGCGATCAAATCCTTTTTCTCTTCCAGTTAACAAGGAGGGGCTATCAGGCACAATAGACAAGTCTAGCTTACTTAGTGTCTCCATAACCTCAGCAACAAGAGAATCCCATTCTTCTTCAAGTACTGATTTCCTGTCAGCCACTTCTTTCTTAAGAGCTTCCACTTGAATAAAGGCAGAAGAAGACATCTCATTGTAGCTTTGTTGCATTTCATTCAGCTGATGTTGCATTTCACAAGTTCTGGTTTGAAATTCACTCAACTTTTCACTGAAATGACTATTCTCCGCTTTCAATGTGACTTCATTTTTCTGCAAAGCATCATAAAGTGCCATAAAGTCTCCTTCCTTGGATTTGGCACAGTTGATATACTGCCTGAAAGTTTCATTGAGAACCATAATCACCATGTTTTCATGTTCCAAATGATCTGTGTACTCAATCAAAGACTCATATTTAGCTTTGCACTCTGCAAGCATGGTGTCAGTATGAAGCTTATTCTTCATCTCCCCTTCAAAAAATTTGCAAGTCTTTTGCGCTTTTAAAACCACATTCTTAAGCAATGCGTGCAGATTTCCAATTTGCTGCTTAGTAAGCACACAAGGGTCTGCAACTACTTGATTTTCAGTTGGACATCGATCCTCTGAAAGATGGTCATCAACATTTGTCTCGAAAGCCTGAATGAGATTTGATATTCCAGGTGTGACCACTTCACCACTTGAGCTTCTCAAGGATGTTGAATTTGAGTGAATCTCTTCAACTGTCTCTTCAAGTTTTTCAAGTATTCTTTCTGCCTCAATAAGATATCTTTGGATAACTTCAAACTGAAGAAAATCATTCTGCTCATAATCAGATGAGGGTTTATGGATGTTTGAGAAGAAATTTACAGAATCTCCTTCTCTAGAAACAAGGGATGAGCCATCATCATTAATTACATTTCCTTCCCCTTGGTCTGCGCAGCATGCACCTGAAAACTGATTTCTGGGCTCCTCAGATTGAGAGGATGATCTACTTCGGTTATCAAATTCTTTGATCTTGGATTTCTGTAATTCCAAACTACTCTTCAGATGCATATTTTCCTCAGTTAGCTGTTCCATTCGCAAAGTTGAACTCTTCAGATCAGTTACAGACTCACTACATTGTGCCTGCAAAACAGCAACCAAGTTCTGGGATTCAGTCAATTCCAGCAATAGTTCATCATTCTTTGTGAGAATTTGCTGCTTCTCGTCCTCAAGTTTATTTGTTTCCTCCATTAAAGTGGTGAGGCGTGTTGTTGTTTCAGAAACATTCATCTGAAGAGCTTCCACTGAAGCCTTGCTCTCCCTAAGCTCTGCAGATAGTCTACCAGTATCATTGAGCAAAGAGTGTTTTTCCTCCAAAAGTACCAAAATCTCATTTGAGTTTGTCTTCTCTGCGTGAAGGGCTTCTATTGTTTTTTTGCAGTCTGCTACTTCAGCAAGCAGTTTATCATTCTCACAGACAAAATATTCCTTTTCTATTTGAAGTTTCCTTCTCTCCTCATTCAAGGAAGTGAGGTTGTCATTAGAAACTTGATTTTCCGACTGCAATGATAGCAATGAAGCTTTGCTTTGTACCAATTCCATTTCCAACTTCTCAATTTCAAGCACAAAGTCCCCCCTCTCCTCCTGAAGCTTCTTATTCTCTTTGGATAACAAATCAACCTTTGCACTCAGGTTTTCCTTTTCAACCTCTAAAGCTGACACCAAATTTCTGCAGCCCACCAATTCTGCTGAGAGGTTGTCAAGGTCCTCCTTTGACATGTTTAATTTAATCTCCAATTCATCAGCTCTAGCAGAAAGATCCAGGACCTCAGCTTTTGAGATTTGGAACTGTTTCTGAATTCCCTCTTTTTCAGCAACCACCATCTGAAGTTCAGATCTAACTTGTGCAAGCTCAATGGCAAGCATTGCATTCTTGTTTCCAAGTTCATTGACTGAAGCATTGGCCTCAGACATTTGAAACTCCATCTCTTCAGCAAGCTGTAAAGATTTAACATCTTTGACGAGATTGGCAAGGTATAATTGCTCCTTCATCCTTCCATAAACATCAACAAAGTTGGGAACGGATCCAGACAACATTTCTGCATTTACTAATGTTTTCAAAGCAGAATCTCTAGACATGAACAAGAACTTGAACTCATCTTCATCAAGGCTTCTTACAACCTCTGCGAGCTGTGACAGGTTGATTGAACAAGCATTTTGTCCAGATGAAAAGTTCACAATTATATCTTTTATATATTTCGCAGAATTATTATTACCACAATCAGATGAATTAGCCCTTTCCATATGGCCACCAGCATAATCAGTTGAAACAGCTTCCATCTGACCACAAACAACTTGAGAACTTACAGCAGAGTCTGAATCATGTAAAGACTCAAGAGCACTTGAATGTCCATCCCTCTCTTCTGCATCTTTAGATTCAATATCAGTTGAAACAGCTTCCATCTGACCACAAACAGCTTGAGAACTTACAGCAGAGTCTGAATCATGTAAAGACTCAAGAGCACTTGAATGTCCATCCCTCTCTTCTGCATCTTTAGATTCAATATCAATTGATGTAGCATCATCTGGCTCAGTACTATGGGTTGTTTCATTCTTTTCCTTCCTCAGTCCATTCCCCCCAACATCAGTTGTTGCCTGATCACTAGCACTGTCACCAAGTTCACTTAAAGAATGTTTTTTCTCTCCTTCAATCTCTACCTCACTCGTTGCATCAACTTGTTCTGAATCTGGATTGTAAGGTTCCTGCATTGCCCCTAGCCAGCAACAAATGAGACTTAATTATAAATCAAATTCTCAAATTAAATAGAAGAAAACATGCTAAGCAAAACGATGCCAAGAGAGAGGGCACAATCGACATCTGTTACCTGCTCTATGCTATGCAGCCTTTCCTCATCAACTCTAGGAGCAAGTGCTTCAACAGTATTACTAGAATCGGGATAAGACAACAAGTCAACAGGCTCATGCTTTGTTGACTTGGTAGGTTTCTCTTCAGAGTCAACAGGTACTGGAATATTACTGTTAGAGTCCACACTGTCCTTTATAGTATGCGTCTCAGATAAAGAAACAGCATCATTGCTAGAATGTAATCTTTCTGCATCAGGAACATGCTGTGTTGCCGCTGGAACATTAGCAGGATTTATAGAGGCATCACTCCCGGATTTGCCTGGTTTACCTGATGATTTACCACCTTTGCTGTCTTTCTTCTGCCTGTACTGTTGAAGCTGGTAACAAATGAAAAATGTCAAAAGAAGATCCAACTTCCAAGGATTCAATGAAAATGGTACTATAAAATGCTTATCCCAAATGAACCACCACTAGGTGGGGGTCACTTTCCAGTAGTTTCTATTCAAAGCCACCACAGTCGAGTGCAAAACCTGTACAGCTCACAATAGACACCGGACACCAATGCCCTATATGAAATGAACATCATATATGCTTTCAACCATCAAGCTATATAGGGGTTACAATCTAAGTCACTGATGATTGATGAAGAGCTCTCACACTCAAGTCCCAAAACATGCATTTTATGAGTTGAGGAGTTTTTGGATTCATATGCATATTTTTATGTGTTGGGCTTTCATTGGAGGACATTGAACTATTGAGCTTTGGCTGGATCAAGCTTTGGAGACTTAGTGACCGACTGATCACTGGTGTTAGTTTTACACTTGTAGTGTTATAAAATCTATCTATATTGCAAAGCAAATGACAGCATAATCTTACTATACTTCCCCATACATTGTTTTATTATATACCTTGTATATTTTATTTATAAGTCATTTTGTTTTATGATATAAATCAATTCACTGTAACAAATCCCAGAACAACAAATTTAAGAAAAAAAAAATTCTCTAGAGTTGTTCAAGCTAAAATTTTAACTTCTTAGATTCATTTACCTTTCCGCAGTTCATAAATTGTTAGCAGCAACTAAACTAGATTCATAAATCCAAACATACAATTCAAAAGTGGCGCAAAAAACTCTCCTTATAGCACAGAACAACTGAACTCAGTAGACAAACTACGCGTATCCTCCTTACGCTACGAAATTTAATACGTTCCTACGGTGGCAACAGTATAATGCACATAAAACACGACATAACAGAACGAAATGAGAAAGAAATATAAAGCCGAACCTTTTTCCGGCCGGCAGCGAGGAGATCCGTTCGGTTCTTATTTTTGTCCATCTGATCGGATCGACGGCAATTCTCAAGGCCTCTCCGGCACCATTAATCACAGTCCACAATATCGCCCCTGCCAAACCAGCCAAAATTAAACACGCAATTTCGTTTCGAGTATGGAATATCGTGAGACGGAATCAGGCATACATACCTTCGTGGATCTCAATGAAATAAGACGAAGAATGAGAGAGAGAGAGAGAGTTTTGTTATCGGAGGAGAGAAAGGTGGTTTGATGGCGTTGAAGTGAGGTGAGAGGTGGGGTGGCTAATGGCTTAGTCTGGAAGTCGTCGGTGGTGTCATATTAGAAGATAGATTGTTAGATCTAACGCAAGCCTGGGGGATTGGTTCCGTGTAAAAATGGGAACGCTCGGCCCAGTTTCGGTTTCGAGTGGGCCCGCTAACCAACCCAATTTGAGAAAAAGGAACGTACACTTTTTTTGTATCGTTTTGTGATTGTAATTAGTTGGATTTCGTCTTAAACTAACGATCGTTATAAATACGTAAAGTGTGTCTTTAATTTTAGTTAGGTATTGTTATAAATAAAACTTATGGTGGACATTAATATAGTAGCTTTGTAACGTCTGTAACGGATGTAATTATCCTTCATTATTGTATGCCTTTAGTGTATCTTGTATATATATCATTGTACTATGATGGATGATGATGAATGGATCTATCCTCCTTTTCTCCCTCATCTTTCTACTCTTATTCTCGTTCTTACTGTTCTTCACGAGCTAAAGGCCTGCAAACTAACTTGCAATACAACACGTTATCAGCACGCTCAAACTTGGTGAACGGTAATTTTATGTTATTCTAATACACGTTATACTCGTTTAAAGCATTGGTGTGGTGAGCTTATCATCTGCAATTGTTTCTAATCGGCTGGTCCAAAGTGATCTGGCTGGTCATAGAACACATGAAATCATTGTTCCTAATCGGCCTACCTTTGGTAATTTGGCTGGTCATAGGACCTTTGATGGAGCTACTCAAACCACACTACCAGTACTTAGTGTTCCTGCTAGTGATAGTGCTATTGTTTCTGATTTTCTGGTCTTGATAATATGAATACCACTGTTAATGAATCACAAAGTGTTAGTGGTCCTAGTGTTAATGCTCTTAATTGGCTAAGTATTGGTAATGTCCCTTTGATTTCTTCTGTTGCTAATAATCCACTTAGTCGTGGCAATGAGGCAGCAAACAGAATCTAGTTTGATAATTTTTTTTAACCATGTTAATAAGGATATGTGTGTTTGTATTATCCATTTCCAGAACCTGATAACATATGCATTATGACTAATTTTTTGTATGTATATGTGCGTATGCATATTATAAACCCAGTATCAAAGCAAAATTAGCTTGTGGGAGTACACTTCTTAGCATAGAAATACAGTGGAAATCAAATCAAAGGTTGGAAAATCATGCTAGAGTTTCGACCATACTCTAGCGAGCTTTGTCTTTGATCCTACTTGATTAAAACTGCTACATCATCTATGCCTACTTGATTGATTATGCACTTCATATTATTGCCTTGAATTATGTCAATAAATTATTATTATTATTAGGCAATACAATCATATTGCATAATGTTGTTATACCATGTCAAATTATAAACTGAAATGTGGTAAAAGGCATAGATTACTTGAACTTAGATGAGTGATTATCTTTTTAGATAATTTTGACTATGCTTATTATTTAAGATAATAATATGTCATATGCATGTCCATCCTGTTGATGCCTAATTTTTTTTGAGAGCTTAATTGAAATATATAATGTTGTGACACTACTGATTATTACATGACAATTATTGTTGTGCCACAATTTGCTCTCTTATGCAATATGGCTATGTGTATATCATAGAAGAAAACGTGACATAACAATTATTTGCTATAGGCCATATATGTTAAGATTTATTATAAATCTTAATGGGTGCTTTGCCCAGATGAAAAATTAAAGTCATTGATTTATATACTTATTATACGATAGTCCTTGTAGGATTGTCATGATCAACAAGTGGTTACAACATGAATTTTACACATAGCATTGCCCAGAAGGCGAATTCATAGCACTAGTTATATGATAATAACACTACGACAATTTATATGACTTGGTAGGGAATATCCCGACCGACATAGCTCCACCACGACCGAGGAGTCTTTGTCTCTTTCTCCTTGTCTTTGTAGGTAACAGGTCGGGCTCCTTGAGAAGAACCCGGTCGGGCACCGACCGGGAGTTGCCCGAGCGATGGTGTCAACCCCGAGCGGTAGTCCTTCGGCGAGAGAGCTGACTAAAGACACGTGGCGGCTCTTTACATCGACAGGCAGGGCACCCAGGAGGATGGCACGTGGTGGCTACGTGGAAGACATGCCGAGCGGCTGGGATCTTGTCTCCGGCACAGCGGCTATAAGTACCCACAGTAGCTACAGTGTAGAGGACTTTTGGACGATCGATAGGTTGTAACTAGAGACTCCCGACCGCAGTCAGTCGGTACTCAGTGCAACCAAGTAGATTGTACTTAGGAACTCTACCTTGATCAATAAAGACTTACTTGCTTTACTTGGTCTTGTGTTATTTATATTGCTTACGTAGAATTAGCAGCGCCATTTTGGCGCCGTCTGTGGGGACCCGTGCAAGAAAGCTACGTCTTGACGAGCACCCGATCACCATACCAACATGTATCCGTGGGCACACAACAACTTCGCCGACGACCAGGCGGATGCGGCGAGCTCCTCCGACCACTATGCTACCCAACAGCAGGGTCAGACGATGGATCTCAACCTCAACCTTTCACCACCGCATCCGTCAAATGCATACCCGGCCGCCCAGCAACCGGTAAATTACATACAACCGGGATACCCACCACCCGGTCTGCCATACCAGCAGCAGCCGGTGATGTATCCCGCCCAGTACCCGTACCCGGTCCCACCTCCACCATACGGGTATTGGCCAGGCCAACCAATGTGCTACACTTCCCCGGTTGGTTATCCACCATATACGCCTGCCTATACAGCTCCAGCCGCCGCCCCTCCAGTACCACCGATCGCACAAGTAGAGCCGCAGCGTCAGTCCACTTCCCGGGCTCGACGCTCGGCTCATTCGCGGTTGGGGTCGGGGGGTGCCGATGCGATGGAAGCGCCACGGCAGGCCCAGCAAGCAGGAGCAGTCCCCGCCCGAGCGGAAGACCCTGAAGAGGTTGCCCGAGCGGTAGCTTTTGATCGTCTTCGACCGGAGATGCGCCAGCGTTTGGGACCCCAAGACCCGAATCCCAGGCAAGAGGACGTACAAATGCAGGAAGCTGGCCACGAGGCCTCATCCGGGTATAGCGGGTCGCGATCTCACCGACGTCGACGTGCTCGGGATACAGCCCAAGCCGCCCAGAACGCCGAGCTCAACGAAACCCGAGGATTGCTTTACAACCTCCAGGCGGAAGTTGCGCAGCTCAGGAGTGCATATCCTACAGCACCCCCGACCGACCGATCGACCCTCCACCAGACGCCTTTCACAGCAGCGGTAATGGCTCAGCCTTACCCGCTCGACTTAAAGGTCTCGGGAGAGAAGAGCTACGACGGTCGGACAGATCCTGAGGCTCACGTGAATGATTTTTTCAGCAATATGATGCTGAAGGGCGTTTCAGACGCCGTGATGTGCAGGGCCTTCTACTCAACCCTCACCGGTCGGGCAGCAGAGTGGTTCCGCACCCTGCCCCCGGGGTCGATCGACAAATTTGAGACCCTGGCGATCAAGTTTGTACGGAAGTTCATTACTTCCAAAGTGGTGAGGAAGTCCTATATGTACCTCGAAAAAGCCAAGCAGCTCGAAGGGGAAAGCTTGACCGACTTCCTCATCAAGTGGAAGGCAGCGGTCGGGGAGGTCGAGCCCATGGATGATGCGACCGCCACTCACATGCTTCACATCTCCCTCCGGGCGGGGTATCTGTACCAGGATTTTATCCTCCACCCCCCGACCACATATGAGGAGGCCGTCCGAAGGGTCACTGATTATGCTAACGCAGGTGAGGCGAATGCCGTCAAGCGCTCGCAGGAGGTCGGCTCTTCCTCCCGTAAACCGGCCGGCCGGGCGGAACATCGATCGGGAGATGACAATCCCCGACCTCGCACCAGGCATGGCGAGTTTACGGCCTTGAACCGATCCGCAGCGGAGGCCATGCAATATGCCCAGTCCTGCAACCTCATCAAACTCCCCCATCCCGATCGAGACGGCCCTGATAAGAGTAAGCACTGTGCCTACCATCGATGCGTCGGGCATGATACCGAGGAGTGTACCCACTTGCGCCAATTGTTGGAAGATTTGCTCAATTTGGGAAAATTGGACAAGTGCGTGGGAAAGAGAGAGGAAAGCAAGAGGAATACCGATCGGAGGGAACACAGGCGATCTCATCACCGCTCCGATCGGTCGGGTCAGGACCGAAGAGACGATCGAAGGGACGATCGTCATGAAGACCGACGGGACCCTGATCCCCCGACCAGCAGTCGCCCGGTCGGCAAGCCCACCATCCATGTCATATTTGGTGGCCTAGAAGACGCTTCCCAGCCGAGGACGAATTGCCCGGTTGCGATCGTGGACTCCCGAGAGACCGGGAAAAGACAAAAAATGGAGCCCATAACCTTCACCCTAGAGGACCAACCTAGCAGCAGTGACCACGGCATGGAAGCGCTCGTGGTCACGATCGACGTCAAGGGAACGGACGTCCAGATGGTTATGGTGGACACGGGTAGCAGTGTGAACGTCCTATACTTGGACGTGTTCGAGAAGCTTGGCCTCGACAGGAAGGAGCTGACTCCGGTCGGTGTACCACTGTCGGGATTTACCGGGGCCCTCATTTACCCCGAGGGCAAAATCACTCTCCCGGTCGAGATCGGCACCCCCCCGAAGTCGATCAAGACAGAGCTTGAATTCGTTGTGGTCAACCTCCATTGCGTCCACAACATCATCCTAGGCCGACCCGCCATCATGAAGATCGGTGGGATAATTTCCATGCCCCATCTCTGCATGAAATTCCCCACCCCCAATGGGGTCGGCGTGGTCCGTGGCGATGTCCAGTCCGCCCGGAAGTGCTACACCCGAGCGGTCAACAGACGCGATTCCGGTCCGTCTTCCCGGGTGAATACTATAGCCAAGGAAGAGGCTAAAGAACGGAAGGAGCAACCCGAACCTTCCGAGGAGATAGAAGAAGTTCCCCTGTCCGAGGACCGCCCGGATAGGAAGATTAAAATTGGCCGGGCCCTCACCCCCGAGCTCCGAGCAGAGGTTCTGAGCATACTCAGGGAGTATGCTGATATTTTTGCGTGGGGACCCGAGGAC